CGACCAGATCAACGACTGGAAGGCTCGGTTCCCCTTCTCCCTCTATGAGAGGGAAACTGCTGAGGGACCCATCAAGCCCCAGGCTGTCATTGAGAAACTCAGCGATCTCACTGCTCACATGAAGGACCGTACTGTCATCACTACCGGTGTCGGTCAGCACCAGATGTGGGCTGCTCAGCACTTCCGCTGGCGCCACCCCCGTACCATGATCACCTCTGGTGGTCTTGGAACTATGGGATACGGTCTCCCCGCTGCTATCGGTGCCAAGGTTGCTCGCCCTGACGCTCTTGTCGTCGATATCGACGGTGATGCCTCGTTCAACATGACCCTGACCGAGCTCACCACTGCTGCTCAGTTCAACATTGGTGTCAAGGTTCTCCTCCTGAACAACGAGGAACAGGGTATGGTGACGCAATGGCAGAACCTGTTCTACGAGGACCGCTACTCGCACACTCACCAGAAGAACCCCGACTTTGTCCCGATGGCCCAGGCCATGGGTGTTGCCGCGGACCGCTGCACCAAGCCCTCGGAGGTTGAGGAGAAGCTGAAGTGGCTGATCGAGCAGGACGGCCCTGCCCTTCTGGAAGTGTTCACTGATCGCAAGGTGCCTGTGCTCCCCATGGTGCCCGCTGGCTGTGCCCTGCACGAGTTCCTTGTTTATGACGAAGGTATGCACAATGATTGATCTGATTGAGTGAATGAATGCTAATATAGTGTTTGCAATACAGCCAAGGAGAAGGAGCGTAAGGCTCTGATGAAGAAGCGGAAAGTTCCCGGTTTCTAAGTGAGCCGCGGATGCTAGCGATGAGTTGCCATGCCTGTTATTTGAAAGCTGCAAAAGTGCCCACCCATTCCTGATCTCTTGATATCCATGGCGTTTCTGGCAGGTTCTAAAACGCTAGCGGGTGCCGGTCTGCGCCCCGGAGACAAGCTGCGGCGGTCTACTTCGACCAGAGAACCCTGAACTAGCATGGTGCAGGACCGTGGAGAGCATTCGATAGTAGCTCTACTCGGTCCTGTACTGGGGTCCTGGGCTGAATTGACCTCTAGCTGGGCTTGGACCTCCTTTCCCTTTTTTTGCTTTTTCCATTTTCACCGTTTGCATTATGGCTTGCGCGCAAAAGTTGCCTCAAATGTTTTTGTGGGAAATCCAGCTGTATATAATCCTTATGTTGCTGTAATCTTTTGTATGACCTTGGAAATACTATCATGAGGCATTTGAAAAGGGAGGAGTGTTCCTGGATGACGCGATAATTAGTGCTGACTGGAGTAGCGACGTAGATTATCCTAAGTGACTAGTGAGCAGCTAGTTTATCTACTATCTACTACAAGTCATCCAGATTGCTGCATCCGCCATGATGGCGCAAAGTGAGGTGATCGGTCTCGGCATCACGTGAGGGTCGAGCAATTGGGGTCCGCGGAATGCGCGCCTTTATGTTTCGCCGCCGAACAGCCGCGGTTCACATCCGAAGGTCACTAGCGGGGGCTGGGAAGTGGGAAAAGTACAGTAGTACGGAGTCTCTCACTAGCAGTTAAGCCTGGTACTGAGAGCCTGGGTCGACTGAGACACTGTCGGACTTGGTTGCTGACTGACTGACTTATTTGCTTCTGCTCTGCTGCTTCTGCTGGGGCAGAGTGCAGATGTCGGAGCTGCCTAATAGGGCTGTGACTCTCAACTCTCTCTCTCTCTCTCTCTCTCTCTCTCTCCCCCTCCGTTCTCGCCTCCAGTTCTCTTTCTTTCTCTCTCCCACCATCTGGTGACTGACGCAACTTGACTAACCTCCCTCTCCACACATGATGCAGTGCTTGTTTCCGTAACTCCCCGTCCACTCCTCTACTACTACTGTTGTATCCACCCCTCTTGTGTCTCCCACATCATGGCCTCCCTCCCAAGTTATTCGGCCTCTAGCCGGCCACAGTCATCTGATAATAATACTACCTCCACTACCCAACAGAATAGCGTATCCACGAATATAACTAGCAGCGCTTCATCGACAGAATCATTCGAAGCTAGCGATACCGTCCTGCTCAACGGCTCCTCGGATACCGCCACCGCCCATGGCTCCCCGACAAGTCCGACTCTCGCCGATGCATCTGGTGAGGAACCACGCAGATGTTGGATTTGCTATACAGATGAGACAGAGGACTCTCCCCTTAATTCACAATGGCGCTCGCCATGTCCATGCGCCTTGACCGCCCATGAAGCATGCCTGCTCGACTGGTTGGCGGATCTCGAGAATCCCCGATCGCGGAGGCGTAACGGCCATGACGCAAAGATGCTGTGTCCGCAATGCAAGACCGAAATTATCGTTTCTCGTCCCCGAAGCTATATTGTGGATATAGTAAGACTGGTTGAGCGCCTCGCGGGTCGGATGGTCCTCCCAGGAATGGTTTTCACGTTAGGAGCAACCGTGTGGGCGGGGTGCTGTGCGCATGGAGTATATTCAATGTATTTCGTCTTTGGGACGGACGAGGCTCGCCAGATCTTGGAGGAAACAGCTGATGGGGCATGGAATTCGGGGCTCAACCTGGGGTTGCCCCTCATCCCGCTCGTGTTGATCTTCTCGCGCACCCGGTACGCAGATGGTCTCCTCCCTGCCATCCCCGTTATGTTCTTTGCCACACATCAACCGGGACAGGAGCTGGAGTTGGATCTTTGGCCGCCCAGTGCGGCAGTCACGTTTGCCGCTCTTCCATACCTAAAAAGCTTTTACGGCAGCGTCTACGAGAGAATGTTTGGCAAGTTGGAGCGGAGATGGATTGCGGAAGTACAACCGCGCTCGGATGTCAATGAGTTTGACGATAATGCGCCGCCCGAACATCCCGAGCCAGACCCACCTAATGATGACAATGGCGTCCTGATGGAGATAGATTTGGAGCTACGCATGGGCAATGAGGACGGGCCGCAGGGCTTGTTCGGCTTTAACGGAGGAAATGCGCAGGGTGGACAAGGGCAAAACCAGGGTGGAAACGGCCAGCCATTGGGCTTGGGTCGACGGGATGAGCTGGTAGCCGACACAAGCAGTCTGGCGGATATCATCCTCGGAGCACTTGCGTTTCCCGCCATATCTGCGTCAATGGGCGGGCTGTTGAAGTACATCTTGCCCACTTCATGGACGACGCCATCTACGCTGGGCAAAGTCCGACCAGGACTGCTGCAGACCCGCTGGGGCCGGAGTGTCGTCGGAGGATGTGCATTCGTGCTGTTGAAGGATGCGCTGGTGTTATATTGTCGGTGGAAATTGGCGCAGACGCACCGACGCCGCAAGGTGTTGAACTACGATCGGTCGAAGAAGCGGGTGAAGACCGATCGATAGTGAGAGGGATGATGGAAGCATTTCTGGCGTTTAGGCTGATGGATTGAGATACACTCTTTGCTGGTTTTGAGCTCTTTGCAATTGATGACGAGCGATGCAGATGCCTTGGTAAAAGTGTGAATATATACCTTTTCCTTCGTATGAATCATATGAATAACAGTAATTAACATCATTATGAAAAGTAATCCAGCGCATCGATTGTAGTATACGCGGAATACAAAAAGGCAGAAACGGCGCTTACTTAGCGCGCGGCAGATAACCAACCAACCAGGCTAACCCAGTAAGTCAACCCAACTAATCCACCCAAACTTCCGCTCCGGCGCGCAGTGTCTGTCTTCCGAACATTCTCAGAACACCACCCCCATCTACAACCAGACCACCACATCTCGGAGAGAAGAACCAGAAAAAGAAAAGAATTCAAAATGCGCACCCTCTCCCCCGTCCTCGCCTCCCTGGCATCCGTCTTCCGCATCCCCATGACCCGCCCAACCCTCACCAGCACCAGCAGCACGATCACCAACACTCTCCGCCAATCCCAATTGCAATCCCAAACCAACCAATTCAGCACAACCACCACGCTCCAAAAGCGAAAGGAGTCTGGTTTCCGCGGCGACCGCAGAATCAGTACGATCCCAACCCTATCCCAATCCCAACCCTACCCTACCACATCATATCACACCTACTAACCACAATATAATAATCCTATAGCATTGATCCGCTACTTCCTCCACCACCCACTCACTCCCCGCCCATTGCGCTTCTCGCGCACCCGGTTCCTGCGACACTGGACGATCCACCGGGCATGGAACCTCTACCAGGGCCAGCAGCGACGGAAGCACGAGCTGGAGCTGCAGAGACAGTGGCAGGCGATGCAAGCCGCGTGCGAGGAACTGCGGACTGGTGCGGGCGATGGCGGGAAACTCTTCCGCAAGAGTATGATTAAGACGGGCGTCTTTAGGGATTTGGTCCCCATTGAGTATGCCCGCATGCAGACGGATGGGCCGGCGAGGGAGGGGTGGAATCATGAGTGGAAGAGGGATTAAGTTATTTCCTGTCTCCTCCGGAGGAGGAGATTTCTACGAAGGGGAAAGGGGGAATGTGATGGAGGAGGGGATGGGTGTAGGGAATGAGGTAGAAAATAGAGGAGGGGGTTCAATGGGTGGATATGAATGGATGGATGGGTTTGTGTGATATTACTATTGTCTATGTTCTGTATTCGTCTTTTGTATAATATGTTACTATATTATGGGTTCGTTCTCGGTCACTACGTACTACTGTATACTGTGTACTGTGTAGAGTATAGACTGGTGGATACAATTTCAATACAGGTATAACCGCTAGTGACAGTAAGACACAGAAGAAGGCAAACAACACTGACAACAGACAATGAAGACACGGAAGAAGGCAAACACCAAATGAACGAATGTCACCAAGCGTGTCCCCCCCGGAGACCAAGGGTATGTCAACATGCGAAACTTGATATTCGAACACAAAAGAAGAGGCCCTCCCAAACGCCGCAAATGCAAGATATATCGATCAACATCCGTCACCTTCACTCTCCCTTTTCTTCGAAATCCAATTCAAACTGGCGCACGCGGGTCGCGCGGCAACTGCAAGTGCAACATGCTCGAAGCGCATAGCAAATGAACCCATCATGGCTGGCATGCAAATCGCTGAAATACCATCAGAGTCGGCGACGTATCTATCGCAAAGTCGTCATTTCCCCATTATAGCACAATGCAGCATGAGCTTTTTCGCTTGTCGAACGTCAGGAGCGCGGCACGCGTGGCCGCCTCGAATACATCGTCGACACCCTCGCCGGTTAACGAGGAACACTCGAGATACTTGCGGGCTCCGATCTGTGTTGAGATGTCGCTTCCTTCTTTAGACGTCACAAACTTTAGCGACTTCTTTCTCATCTCCTCGACGGCCAGCGGATCTTCCCGCAGATCTTTCTTCAACCCGACAAGGATGATAGGGACACCCGGACATCGTTCGTTCGCTTCTTCAATCCACTACAGGAACCAGTCAGCGCAGTCCAACAGTAACAAATTGGTCAGACAACCTTATGTTTGACGTTCTCCAGCGAATCGGGCGTGTCCACAGAGAACCCAATGAGGATCACATGCGCCTTGGAATAAGCGAGCGGACGCAATCGTTCGTAATCTTCCTGACCAGCAGTATCCCATAGGGCCAATTGAACCGAACGGCCATCCACTCTGCAATCCGTCACGTAATTCTCAAACACCGTCGGAACCTGGTTGACACGCGACAGTCAGATGCATGCTAAGTAGTCAGCGAAGGAGGTGATAGGTACGAACATAGTGCTACAGATCAGAAACCGGTTAGCCAATGAAACTCCATCGATCAGCGCATTGGAGGAGAGGGTTGACTTACGGTTGGAAAATAGCCAAGGGTGAAGACGCTGAGCAGACTGGTCTTTCCGCAGGCACCATCCCCGATGATCACCAACTTTCTACATGCAGGTCAGCTCAATGCCCCATTCGTTCAAGGCATGGATGATGCATTGGGGGCTGGCTGCACCCCCGCACCCCTCTATACGAGCAATCCGGTTCGAGTGACAGCGGGTGGGCTGATAACGGGAACCAGAAATCGGCAGTAGATAACATGATGGCCTCAGGTGCACACCGGAACCCAGGGACGAAACAGACAACAGGGCGGGAACATACCTTCGCATCACATTATCAGTCTGTTGTTGAGCCATTTTTTCACAACCGGCTGGGGATCACGGATCCCTGAATTCGATGGAAGCGAGAATGCACGAATGGGTCGAGGCAATGCGAGGGCGCTGACGAGCCCTGGCGGAACCCGGAACGGAATAAGAATCAGGCAGCAGCAGGCAAGGCTGGCCAGAACTGCGGTCGGGACAACGGTCAAAGGATAAGGTAAGAGGAATTCAGTGGGAAGTTTTTTTGTTTGTAAAATGCGATTTGTGGGAAGGAGGGGAGAAAATTGGAAAATAGTAGTTGATGAAGCCCCTCCCCCTAAAAATTATAGAATACAAGAATGAGGAGGAAGCCAGGGAAAATGGGGAGGGGGTGGATAGCTTTGCCGGGGGAATGAATGAATGGATGGATGATAATCTGGGAGAAGTGGATTTGGGGGGGCCCAGCAAAAGACTTGTCTCGTTCCTTCGGGAAGGCGGTCGAGCGTTGAGGCTGACGCTGATCCGGAAAGGAAAGAAACGAGAAAAGAAAGATTTGAGAGGGGGGGAAAAAACGGATAAAATACGCACCTTCAAATACGAATACTCAACCCTGAGTTTGTCGACGGGAAGTAATACTTGAGTAACTTAGCTTCACTATAACAGCAACTTGATATAGAGGAGATGACGAGGCAGGAAGGAAGGGAGCTGGTAATGATTATGATGATGATGATGATGATGATGATATGAAGGAGTATTAGAAATTAGAATAGATGCACTTCTTGTACTAACCCTCACAATCCAGGCATCTCACTCCATATATATACATGAATCAGTACGGCCTCCCACCACGCTGACCGAATGGGCACAAATAGCATCATCAAATCGACGCCCAGCATCACAGCTAAACCAACCAATCCCACTGGCAGCTAAACGACTTCCCCCATAGTAATCAAAGAGAAGGAGGGATCGACCCAGTAATGGCCCAGCTGAAGAATCGTCACCGCACGGCCGCTTGTTACTAAGGTTAGAGATTTGTCTCAGACGTTGCAGACTAGACGGTGGTTATTTCGCGATAGTCGCTGTTACTATTATGAGGGTGGAGAGATGAGAGAGAGAGCGCGTTGGTCCAGAAAAGAGAGGGGGATCACGCCGGGACCAAGGGGCCTTGCACTGCTTACCATGATTGGACCATTGATCCATTTCATGGCAATTACTTAGTATATTTATAGCCCCCCGGATGCTCTGGCAGGGAGGGGATGCCGATGAATGCGCAAGTCCGGTTTCCCGTTTTTCTATTTCTATTTCTTTTTATTTTTCCCCAGTCATCCTCGTGGTGGAGGAGATGGTGGGATGTTTCTTTTTTGTTTATTTTTATTTTAGTTTATATTTTTTTTTTTTGCTCTTGCCCTGACCCAGTCAAAACCCGTTGTTGATCAAACTTACACACACACAAAAATGCACTTCTTTTGGGATCCACTGGATAATCGCTAACTACTGACTAGATACTACTGCTAAATTCTCAACAGTTTTTAACAGTCTCTCACTCACCTTCCTTGTTGAATCAGTTCCTCGTATCCCGTCTATCTCTGGAGCTGAGAATGCATGAGTAGTAGTAGTAAATTCGGAACTAGTTACGGCGCCCTAAATCCTGGCACCAGTAGTCACCCCGATCCCCTTTACACACAGTACAGCCACTTCAGGGGTTGAGCTCCATCATACTATGGCTGAGCACTGAACAGGGCTGTCCTCGTCTCCAGTCAATGCATGACATGATATCCTACTACATTTATCCCTGGCCAGCTTGTGTTTGCGCTGTTTATCTACACCCCCTAGGACATGGATAATACGACACATTATACTCCCGGCACCGTGCGTATATTCTAGGCTTGAAATAGACCACTCATAGAGCTTCCCGGTGAATGGAGTTCCCAACATGATAAATGCTTCCGAGACATCGTTATTAGCGCGCCGCATTAAGGTACAAAAATGAGTAGAGAGTCCGAACCCCTCCGAAAATATTCACAATAAGAAATGGAAAAAAAGAAAAAAGAGGGATTTCCAGTCCCGATCAATCAATCAGATCTTCACCTCGTCAATATCATAGACCAAATGCTTCTGACCAATTCCCAAAGCTTCCAACCCTAATCGGTTATATAGTCCATAAGCAGCCCATGCCATATACTCCTTCACCCACAACCCCCACGGACTGACATCTTTTCGCTTCTTTCCGTTCTTGGCAGCCAGATTGTATATCTCCGTGATGCGCGGTCTGCGGATCGCCTCGTATTTGGCAAATGCATCTTCCAAGCTCCGCTGATCGTCTTTCAGTAACCTCGATAGCAGAAACACATCCTCCAATGCCATGGACACTCCTTGGCCCGCATGAGGCTGCATCGCATGCGCTGCATCTCCGAGCAGCACCGTTCGAGATGTATGGTACTTCCCGCCCAGCGGGAGCCGGAAGATGGGATAAAACCCAACGACGTCCGTCCGATTCACCATCTCCGTCAATGCCTCCGGCCATTTACCCTGGCCTTCTCCGATGATCTTCAGAATGGTGTCCTTGTACTCCGCAACCTCTTTTTGACGTCGCTCCTCCCACCCGTCTCGCGCATTGCCGGATTCCGAGTGAGGGATAGGCGTTTCCCGCGAGAAGAACCAGAAGAGCTTATCGCCAGACGGAGAGCACGGCATCATGGCCAAAATACCCGTGCGAGTGAGAAAGGCGTTGGCATGCGTACTCAGCTCCTCCGGAAGGCCTGTGCAGTCAATCACGGACTGCGTTCCCGCGATACCGGAGTATTCGGGCACAATGGACGGGTCGACATGCAGTCGACGGACACTAGAGTGAAGTCCATCGCATCCGAGCAGGATATCTGCTGTATCAGTTGAGCCGTCGGAAAAGGTCACGGTGACATCTGTTGGCGACTCGGTGACGGAGACAATGCGCTTGTTGTAGTGGACAGGTATTTGGTCTTTTGCAACGGCGTCAAGAAGAACACCCTGGAGGTCTTTGCGACGAATACGCAAGTATCCGAAGCCAGTTTTTCGGCTTGCCCAGCGACAGATGTCGACCTTGGCAATGTCACTATTTGGCAGAGAGTGCATCTCCATGTCGGCGACGGAGAATCCGCGGGCGACGACATCCTCATGTAGCCCTAGTCGATGGACCAAGCGCATTCCATTTGGGAATAGGCCTATAGCACCACCCAGGGTGGTAGGTTCCGGGCGTAACTCGTATACGGTAACGGCGATATTGTTGTTACGGTGCAGTTGGAGGGCGGCAGCAAGGCCGGCGGGACCTGCACCGATGATGATGGCCTGATGAGGCATGTTAGTAAGATCATGTAGGTGAAGAGAGTAAGCTCACCTTCTGTACAGCAGGCATAATGATAAACTGCTTGGAAAAGTGCTTGGATTGAAAGTGGATTGCTGATGAGGCCGGTCAGCCATCGCTCGTCTTATACTTCAATCTCAAAATCAATGCCTGATAGTATCGGGTTTAGTCCCCGCGGAGACCGGGGGAGGCCGTGGAGGGAGTTACCCGAATAGGTTTAGACCGGTACCTGATACCAAAAAGTGACGATTGTTCCTGTGGCTCATCCATATCCCTCATGTACCTGACCCAAAGCAGTGGCGATCTCTTTCTAGTTTTGAACATCGACATGATCGAGATAGAATAAGTGGGCATGATTCGAGGGCGATGATGAGTTGTTACTGTGTATGCGCGGCCTACTGAGTCTATCAGCTTATCAGAGAATACTAATTAGCAGTGATCGGCCAACAGCAGCAACTGACATGTGATGGCGTCCTTGCTGGACCTATCCCATTATGCCGCTTTCCCTGCGATACCATACGAAAAATTCATGGGAACGGTTTTCATCTGCTGGTGTTTGAATTATGTCTCATACACTGGCAGCTAGAAGCATTTCTGCTGGGCAAATCATGAAGCAAGAATACCCAGACGTTTGTAGGTATATTCTGTCGAGTGGAGACATGACTCGAACATCTCAGGATAGGCTTATCAGCACATGAGTCCTCCGTATTAATGCCTATCAGATCTGTGGTCTCTCCCAGCGATCTAGCTAATGCGGCTTCAAGGCAGACTTCTCCCATTCCTGTATTATTAAACCCTGGAAACCTGGATCGCTTGTAATAAACAGTACCAGTCTACTTCATAATCTGCTTGGAACCTTGGCGCGGTTCTGAATGCCACGGGCTCCCATGTTGATTCTACTCCCTTGGTGCGGTTCAAGAAAATGTACAATGCCCGTCAAGTCTCTATTTCCTGTGGGTCAACGCCTTATCGGTAGAGTAGGGACCTACAAAGTCACCAAGCAGATTTCGCGAATTCATTTATTTTGCAGTGTAAGTGCTGGCCATGCCCGGTGTAACCCGTCTTGAACACTTAGCCGTGACCGATAGGAATCATCACGAGAAATCCGTGGTCGTGAAAAGTGTTGAAGGCCATTGGCGCCTCCACAATGAGCGTGACGTTCTCAATCGTTTTCAAGGTCGCTGCCCGAACCTGCGCCCTCTCCTGGATGAGATCCAAGATCCAGTGGAGCCCCCGGCGATAATCCTGAAGTATCTTGATGATGACGTGACACGCGCGTCTAGAAAAGAAAGACTTACCAGGCAAGAAATCAAGTATGTGGCGAAGAATGTACTGGAAGCCTTGCGAGTGTTGCATGAGGATGGCTATGTTCACACAGGTTCGATAATATCCCATGTTGCCGCACATAGTGTTTGTCCTGACATTGCTTCTAGATATAAAACCGAGCAACATTCTCGTAAACTACGGCAATGGAGAGAGTCGATTTTCAGACGTTCAACTGGCCGACTGTGGGGGTGTTGTCCCTTCCGAGTCGGAGTATGCTAAAGATGGTGTGCAGACCGGAATAAGCCTCTTTCGGGCTCCTGAGGTTCATCTTGAAATTCCATGGTGCACTGCTGCAGATAACTGGAGTTTTGGGGTGACGGTTAGTTGACTTTAATCCGTCGATATGTGATGCCAAGGCCAATGCATCGATAGCTAGTTAATCTGATTTGGGGTTTCAATTTCCACATATTTGAGCCGGATGTACCAGAAGGCGACGAGTTGTACGATGTCAAGATCCTGGTGCTGCATCACCAGTGGCTTGGACCGTTCCCTATCTCTTACAAAGAGATTTGCGACCAGGAGACACAAGAAAGTATTGTGCGCATTATGTCTGTAATCCCGCCTGAAAAACTGAAACCGTTTCGGTTCCTGCGTGAAAGGGAGATCTGTGATGCAGACAAGGCATTTGTCCTTAGGATTATGAAGCTTGACCCGAGGGATCGGTCTACCGCGAAGGATCTTTTGCAAGATGAATGGTTCACCGAAAAGTCGGAGAGGACGGTGGGATGGTATTTCAAACAGGAGTGGAAGGAAATAATGCATCAGAAGGGCAGATAGCAGTAGATCCAGCGAGATGTCTGTTTCCAATACTTAGTGAGTTAGTGTGTGGAAGATAAACATCCTTTGGGGTATTATCAGCAACGGAATGGATCTGCAAGATATGCCCCATGTGGTATTATTTTATTAAAAGTACTGCACTGGCTACCTATCATATCTATCAGTAGCTGACACGCTCCCCAGACTAGTAACTATCTAGTGACAAGCTAGTGCCGATATGCCTGCCCCTCGGCCGTCAACTTCTCCCTTCTCACTTGTTTTCCGCAGCAATTATCTTGTCAGCCATCGCTGGCAGAGTGTCTGCCATGACGTCCATCTCTCCAAATAATTCCACAATCGGCTCCTTTTCCCAGATGGTGCAGTACGCTCCTTTATACCTATGTGTCATGTGTGAGCTTAGTCCTGGATCCACTGCGATAACGCATTATTTAGTGCATGTGTACTCACCCCGCACGGCGAGCCGCCGAAACGTCCCACATATGCCCAGCAGCAAACCAGGGTTGGCCGTGCTGGGAGAGCTGCTCGAGCAGCGGCTGGTACACTCGCAAGTCTGGCTTGCCTATTCCCTGCGAGTCACAGGATTTCAGATTCTCTGCGGGCCATTCAAGTCCAGCGTTGGCGAAATATCCCCCCACTCTCGCGGCGTCCCCCGCTGTGAGCGCCCAGACAGTGAATCCAGCATCACGCAACTTAGTGACGCACTCGGCCGCTCCTGGACGGAGTCCAAGTTTGGCATACCTACTCATGATGAACTCAAGATCGCTCTTCGAGGCAAAGCTTCGCGGGTCTTGGATGCCGGCCATCTTGAGCATTCGCCAGAAGAGCAGTTCTAGACAAGTAGCGAATGTCTTATACTGGCCCGACAAGCTCAGATATGTGTACTCGCGCTCTGCGACCTCGATCCAGGTGTATCCTAACAAGGAAGGCTTGATTCCCTCCGCACGGAGACGGTCGCCCAGTTGCGTGTCGATCGCTTCGAAGAGGACATCGTAGGAGACCAGTGTGCCGACAATGTCGAACACCACATTCTTACTGCCGGTCATAGTGCTGGTGCTGGTGCTGATCTATCGTAGGGATCAAATGAGAAGAGTTGGGAGTGACTGAGAGTTTAGCGTTCGTTCGACTTGTCTAAGCCATTGGCCTACCTTCTTATACACCTGACTCCAAATTAGGAGACAGGGTTTATACAGAACAGATGATCAGCAACCCCACTTTTGCTTCTAGTAAACTCCAGCTTTTCCTTATACAGAAATGGGGAACGACTCGGACTACTCCGTACTATTATCTACAACTGGCTGTTAACGCCGCGAGTCGCTATCAAAGCTCCAACCTAGCTTATCTCGGACGCAATGTCTCCAGTTTGCTGCCGCTTTTCAGATACGACGGCCATGATGGCCAATGACACTTATCATACCTTTTGTGACAGTCACCAGAATTGACATATAAAATGCCGCTATAGGTCCTCTCTCCGATGCTCATGTAGTCAGTGGAGTAAGCTACCGTTACGATGACGAAGAAAGTGGACGTCAAAGACACCGTTGTCGACGCGGACCTGGAAAAGATAGATGTTGCCAAGGGAGACAGTGAGCTCTTAGGAGCGAACGAGGATGTTGGCTACCACCGGTCGCTCGGTAGTCGTCAGATTATGATGATGACCTTCGGCGCTGGTGTGGGAACTGGCTTGTAGGACGAACCCTTTATGCTGCTGGCCCACTTTAATTGACAATCTCATCTAGATGGGTCGGTACAGGTACTGCACTGAAGTATGGTGAGGCTCCCCTGAGCGAAGTGGTAAAGGCTCTTGCAACTAATTGCAGCATGTAGCTGGCCCTGGTGGCATCGCCGTTGCATACACAATCACCGCGTAAGTCTATCAAGCTGCGCTACAGCTGCGGGTTTGCTGACATGCCAACTTATCATCATTAGATTCATAGTGTACTTGCAGTATACCTCTATCGGTGAAATGACAACCTTTAAGCCGGTCCATGGAGGCTTTATCAGACAATGCATTGAATACGTGGAGCCCGCATTCGGATTCGCGGTCGGCATCAATTTCTGGTTCTCGGTAGGTAGCTCGGCCAAATCAAGACGATGAGTGGGTGACTGATCATTACTGGCAGTGGGTGATTTGCATTCCTGCTGAAATAACTGCAGCTGTTTCTGTGCTTGAATTCTGGCCAGCAACAGAGGTTGTCCCACTTGCAGCGTATATCACTATCTTTCTGGTAGTCATTGCCGCAGCCAATTGTTTCGGTGTCCGGATATACGGTCATGTTGAGTATATCATGTCTTTCGTCAAGGTTCTGGCGATATTTGTCATGATTTTCTTCATGTTCATCATGACTTCGGGCGGTATCTCGGCCACACATGGCCCGATCGAGTTTCGCTACTGGCGCAATCCCGGCGCATTCAACAACGGTATCAAAGGTATCTCCAAGGCGTTTGTCCAAGCGCTGTTCAGCTTCGGTGGCGGAGAGCATATCGCAGTCATTGCTGGAGAAGCCAAGGACCCCCGCCGGACCATCAAGAGAACTGTATACCCCGTGTTTTGGCGCATGTTTTCGTTCTTCGTGGTCAATATTTGGCTTGTGGGAATGTGTGTTCCTTACGACGATGAAAACCTCATCAATGGAAGTGGCACATTAGGGAGCCCCTTCGTCATTGCCATTGAGCGTGCAGGCGTGATGTGGCTAGCGCACATCATAAATGGTTTCATATTCTTGACAGTGATTAGCTGTGGCATCACAAGTGCTTATATCGCTAGTCGCAGTCTTGCAGCCTTGTCTGACATGGCCATTTTGCATCCTTTCTTCGGCCGCAAAGACAATGTCGGGAGGCCCTACGTCTCCCTAGCCCTCAGCCTCACTATAGGAGGGGCTTTATGCTACCTCAATTGTAATGACACCGGAGCTACCGTCTATGGCTGGTTCTCATCTCTGGTTAGTATATCACATATTGGTGATCGTCGATACCCTATGGCTGACATTCCCACAGGTATCTGTATCCGCCTTATTCCAATGGTCTGGAATCTTCATCTCCCACATCCGATTCCGAAAAGGTCTTGCTGCGCAGGGAATCGACAAAAAGACACTGCCTTTCCGAGACCGAATCGCTCCCTACGCCCAGTATCTTGGTCTCGTTGTGGTCCTCTTCATCGCAGGGTGCGAATTCTACCTAGCGTGCTTCCCCTTCGGAGAGAAAGGATCTGCAAAGAGTTGGTTTTCATCCTACATTGCGGCGCCTCTATTTTTCCTAGATTACTTCGGCTACAAGGTGAGCGGCAATCATCGGAAAGTCTCAGTGAAATACGTTGACCGTTCGTTTAGATCTACTATCGCTCCAAGCTGGTACGGCCGTCAGAAATGGACTTCTCGGCGGCGGCTGCTTTTGATGAAGAAGATCGGGCAAGGGCGGCTGTTGGTTATGAGGCAGATACCGGAACAAGGAGCAAGATTGGGCAGTACATTAAGAATCTTATTTTTGGCTAGGCCTGAGTTGCAATATCAGCAAGCTCCGGTTGGATTTTGCCTTGAGGCTTGAGAACCCGGTCAATGGTCCAAGCAAACTCTGGACAGTGCACATCGACTTATTGAACTGGGCATGTTTGCTGATTATACTTACTCATACCTCAGTAGTAAATAGGAATACCAAAGACATTGAATCTTTTCCAGTGGGCCTGATGCTATTTATATTCAACGGGGCGGCGGGGGGGACTGAGGCGTATTAGGACAAAGAAAACCCCGAATCACCCATCATGTTGTAATCACATCGTAGAGATCAACTTTTATTTGACCGCTTTCATCTCCTCACTGACTGTATTACTATCTTCTGCAATCACAATTTCACGCCCCTACTAGAAACCCATGTCATGGTCTGGCGCCCTCACTAGCGTGCGATAGTCGCATTGGGTTGCAGTTCAGCTTGCGGCGCAGCTCTCTTGCATAAACTAGGCAATTCTAGTGTCAAGAGCCGAAGATGAGCGCGACCGGCTCATACAAATGAATATCATCTGCATTCCCCTCTCCAAAATCGTGATCTTACTGTCAGCTAGCTCACCTAACAGCCAGTTGAGAAATCCTCTCCGAATTGAAAGCTGAACCATTCGATTCATGCTCCCGACGTTGAACACCGAGCGCCTCTAATAGGGACATGCGTGCTTCGTCTCAGTGCCGGCTAATCAGACTAACAAGATCGCCGTGGGTCTTTCGTCGTCTTAGAAGCGTCTCGTCTCTTGTTGTCTCTCTCAATTTTTATCTGCCTGACTCGCAATATGCGACCATGGATTGAATGGACGGAGTCCGTTTCTCGACAACCCGACGCATGCTCTAGACACTCAAGATGTGCCTGTGGGCTATCATTCGAATCAACCGCCTTCTGATGGAACTCTAGATTGATGCTTACGCGATAATATAATTTATCAGAGGTTTCATGATGCTCCTCGTTTTGGTATAGCAGGTCTAATGCTTACTTCTCAACAGGATCTTTAGCTCTCAGACATCAGCTGTGAGTCCACTATTGACGACGAGCCTGCGATGCATAACATATAGAATCGGAGGAGATACGCCCGCTATTGCAGATGCTTCGTTGGTACCTGCTCATTGTGGCTGGACCCTTCATATAGTGCTGGTCTACATCTGCTCAAAAAGCTCAGCAATAAGCTCTGGCCGTCACCCATCTCAAGATCAAATACGGCTTTTGGCAGCCGTTAGCAGTGAATTGCTTAATACTAGGACCATCCTTTAACCATGAATATTGGGTCGGGCGTTTTCTCCGGACGCCGTCGATTAATTTGGGGCGCGAGAGGATGCGCCATTAACCGTTCTGCGAATCAAAGCATCGAGCGAAACGGGCCCGGATTGCGCATTTATCATCCGTACCCAATGATGGCCTCGCCGGATGGTCTCTACAACATTATGGAGACCATTTATCTCTGGCCTCGCTTCCTTCGGCATCTACTGTAACCGTCACCGCTTATTTCCAAGCGCGGTTCATAAAACCGACGGACACGAAACATCAAAATTGAGACTTCGCCTGACGCTTCAGGAAGGGAGTGGCCGGTCAATGAAGTCATTAGTCTCCCAAGGTTTCCTCTATCGGCTCTTGGAAGAATCCTGCAACTGGGGTTCGATCAATGATGTTCCCGCAAATTCTAACCTCCACCCTTCAACCATGGTGAGCCGGCCCGTCAAGACGTCAATCGCAAATTCCATCTGGGCCGGCCGCCGGAACATGCCAACTTCCACCGGAGCGGAATTGATCTGGAAACGACAATCGCAGATGCAATTGTGGAGCAGCCTTCAATTCCACGGGCGCACACTTGGGCCAGGCTGATCGGCATTCCCTAGTGCTTCTATCATTCCGCTAACGAAATAGTCGAGACAACTGCGGAGCAACTCATAACCATCCCGGCGCCACATGGTGCAGTGCAGAAGATGATAGGGGTGTATGCGCCTTTATGCCTTCGTATCATACGATAAGCTGGTCCTGGATTAAACCTGGCCACCATCAATGAGCGCACAATTGGGGGGGCCAAACGAAAAGAGCGTGTGAACTACTAGACTCGTTGGTACAAGTGCCAGCGGCCCGCCAGTCGTCGTGGCGCGGGACAGCGGCCATTTCCGAGCAGGAGCCCACTCTCAGTGTGCTTGCTAGTCAGTTAGTAGTTACAATTGACTGAACCTTCCTCCGGTCCGTTCAGCCGATTACACTTACAGTACGGCGGTCTTCCTCTTAGTTTCCTCCTTCTTCACGGAGGTTCCTGATGCGGCCCACGGGCTAATCATGCATGTTGCAGGCACGGGTCGCCCAACTATCATTGATCGAAAGACCAATTTAGCGCAGACCTAGACACGCAGGTTGATGGATTCCCACGAGGGGTGAAAACGTGCTTAGTCGCATCCAGTCTGTGGCATTTGCTTGGGCTAAGGTCCTTTGCACTTGGTTTACTGACTGACTGCCTACCCACCACACCGTTTTGAAATAGCCCGCCACGGCCAATTTCCCCCGGGCAGTCATATCATAAGCGACAACAACCTCATTTTTAGACACGGTCTTGGGGATCGGCAGGTCTTCTCAGATTCCAACTACTAGAGACGTCTAGGCGGTCTTTACTAAATTTAAAAAATGGCTGCGTGTAACGGCACGGAGTCGTGGGTTCGGGGCGGGGAAAAGTTTAGAGGACATCGGCTGCTTCCTGACATTCTCGATTACTACGCCCATGACGAGCCCGATCGTGTGTTCGCTGCTATCCCCAAGACGAAGAGCGTCATGGATGGATACAAAGACGTAAGCGTGAAAAAGATGGCGACGGCAGTTAATCATATGGCTTGGTGGCTTGAACGCGCTTTTGACGGAGTACCCAGAAAGACAACACTGGCCTACATTGGCCCTCCTGACCTCCGCTACCCCATTTTGCTGCTGGCGCTCATGAAGTGCGGGTGGAATGTATGTATTTGGTCTCCCCACAAATAGTATCCGATACTAATTCATGAGACAGGCAATGTTCGTCTCTCCTCAAAACACTCCCATTCAGAATTTGGGCCTTTTGCAGGAAGCAAACGTCTATGGCCTTCTCTATGCGGACGTCATGTGCTCGGCAGCAGAAAGTCTTCAGCAATTCGACCCCTTCATGCAATCTTTGCCGGTGCCAACACTGGCCGAGCTTTTCAAGTCCAAGTCCCCCCCATTTCATTGGAATGCCTCTTTTGAAGAATTCAAGAACAGGCGTTGTCTGATTCTGCACACTTCCGGCACGACAGGCCAGCCAAAACTGGTCCAATACACCCACGGCACTCTCGCCTGCGCTGACAATGATACATTCATGTCTGTCCCAGAGGGACGTCGTGCGCAGAATGCAGATCAATTCAATTTCTCTCCACCAGGGCGCTATTACTCCCCTTTTCCGCCTCACCACGTGAGTAACCCTACGCGCTCTTCGTCTTCTTGAGCTCATGGATCAACAGCTCGCTGGCCTCCATGCCTTCACCCTTTTGCCTCTCATCTCACGCACGGCTGCTTTCGTCATGGGACCTCTTACTGTCCCACCAAGCGGGGCCCTGCTGAGCTCCATCATGAAACAGCAGCCGCAGGTACGAGCCATCTATGTTCCCCCATTTCTGGTGGAGCAGTGGGTGCTTGAACCAGATGCTTATGACCAGGCACGACGGCTTGATTTCATCCTTTGTGGTGGAGCGGCGTTGGCACCTAGTGTTGGGAATAAGCTCAGTGAGGTGACAAATATACGCCAGATGTATGGCTCTATTGAGACATGCCACATCCAGGCGCTCAATCCCCAGCCAGGAGAGTGGCAATATATCGAGTTCAACGATCTGCCGGAAATTGAGATGGAGGCCGTGGGTGATGACGTCTATGAGCTGGTTCTGCACCCTAACGAGAGCTCACGGCCCTATCTATCCCTTGCTCATAATTATCCCAAGGTACACACGTGGCGCACTAAAGATCTATTTAAGCCTCATCCCACCAAAGCTGGTTTGTGGCACTTTCATTCGCGCACCGAAGATATAATCGTGCTGGAGAATGAGCTCAAAGTGTGGCCTATTCCTATGGAGACTATCCTGCGAGGAGATCCTCATGTTACAGGGGCTTTGATTGTGGGGAATGGTCGTCCCGAACCAGTGCTTCTAGTTGAACCCAGGCAAAGCTCCTATCAAGAAATGAGTAGAGACGAGCTACTGGACGCCATTTGGCCATCTGTCGTCGAAGCCAATTCCGTTGCCTCCGAGCACGCGCAAATCCAGCGATCCCGGATCGTTTTGTGTCCGCCGAAGCTCGGGTTTTTCCGGACACCCAAAGGGACGGTTATGAGGAAGCCAACCGAGTCCCTGTATGCCGAACTAATCTCTGCGACATTCACGGAAGAGGATGACAGTAGCAGCGGTGATGAGTATGACTTTTCCGGCGACCGAACAGAACTCGGTATGCGCGAGGCAGAGCTCCTGACTGCGACCTGACCCAACAATTTCATTCAACGTTTACGGGCAGAAATAGCGCTATGATAATTTCCACGGTTTCCAGACGTTTCGCATCGACTGTTGGGCTATACAACGCGCAGTTGATCAACATGGATGAGGTCTGGCCTGCCAATATCCGGAACACTTTGAGGCGGAAGGTCCACCAACAGCTTCTGGACCGAGACAGGAACATCAGTATCATGGGACAGGAAAAAAGCTGGCTATGACCCCACAGGCCGCCAAATGCCGTGCCGTGTCTCGGTTCGGTGACAGTCGTGAGCGCCCTCGCATGGTAGGAGATCTACTTCTGGTCCGGTCGGTTGCCCTGATCATATTGAGGTGGCGTGTATGACATGCTCTGGAGCCTCTCAGTCTTCCAATTGGCTACCAACCGTATGCAGATTTGTGCTCTTTACGGTTGCTATTGCGGGTATCTTGCGGGGGTAGCCAGCAGGCATTGCGGAGGAACAGTGCGGACCAGCATTGGACTACGAGACAGGTCAGCCAGGAGGATCGCAGGATTCACCATCTTCAACTTTTATAGACACATCATCTTTCATACTTTAGGTTATATTTCGATCGCTACTCTGTAGCCGCACGACCAATTCGAACAGACTTTTGCAATAGACTCAGATAGTTCTGCCTATTGAGTGTTTCACGTAAAGTGATTCGTATGTCTCACAGCATTTATAGATAGTCGTAGTTTACGAATGTTTGAGTTCGGCATTCTAAACCTACAGTGAGTGGCTATGGCACCTATCACACTTACTAAATTCATACGGTCATTTCCCCTCACATTCCGACTACCTAGCAATACACTACACAACATCCCTTACAATCCCAAGAATAAACACCGCCCTTCATAAGGATCTAGTAACGACACACAAGAGAACCCTTGCAACCAGCAATAATAATGCCCCCAATTGTGTGATTCCCATCTTACTCCGAGCTAACCAACAGTAAAGACACCGGCGGTCAGTGGGGAGATTACTCCGCACTGAGACATCCATGCCAACTATGCTAGTTAAAACTAAACGAACACCTGTTAATTATCAACTCTAGTCACCTGACCCATATGGGCATGTCACTTTCCAAGAAAAAACAAGCCTGTTCAATCGATCAACATTTTTTCACCCCAATTCAGGGATACACATGTGTAATCCATTCCGGATGGGATGGGCTGACAGCATCAGATCATGTCAGGTAATTAAGATGGAATGCGCGCCCGCGCCGATCATGAGATTAAAACCCCCCTCTTTTTGGGGGGGGTTGGTTGGCTTTCTGGTAACCCCGCAGGAGAGTTCAGGAAGAAGGACGATGAGGGAGCGCTACTATAATAGCCCAAAATCCCGGTCATAATATTAAACGTTTAAGTTCCGACGGTAGTCCGAGGTATAGGTATCGTTAGTTGTTGTAAGTAGTGGGAGGTTGGAGAATATGATTCTACGAATCAACCTCTCGGATTTAATGCTCAGTCTACATAGTACATGTTCGATTTTGGCTGTTGGACTGGTTGGGTGGCTGGCAAAAAAGGGCGCTTAAAGCTAGGCAGGTGATCTTGAAGTTGGGCGCTTGATTGCATAGATCTCTTTGGCGGGCAGATTGACAGGTGTGAACTTTATTATAGAGGGGGATGAAAGTCCGGATTATTTGGTTGGTTGTAATTTTCCAACAAAAATAAATAAATAAGTAAGAAAGAAAAAGATGTAATATATAGAATACATGGAGATTGATAGAATTCAGCCTGAGAATTGAGGCGAGCAACCTCGCTTGCGGCGGCTAATCCAGTTGCGGCCAGCGGCACGGCAACCATCCAGAGCCCAACGCCCGGCGTCAAGGTCCACCATCCAAACCCCATCATCTTCGCTGTGTCTGCGCCTGTGTCGCCGAATCCCCTCCTCCCCCATCTCCGGTTTGCTGCATTCACTCGCTGTCATCCCTCTCACCTTTTCACATCCTCTTTCTCCTCCCCGCTTGTTCCCTATCTACCCCCCTCGATTGTTGGGGGATTGAACGCTGTCCTCCCCTCTCTCTCTCTCTCCCTCCCCTCTTGTCGTGCGGTTCCCGGGTCCTTTCCACCCCTCTCCGCCCTCGTTCCCCGTTTGTCGACCCTTGGGATTCACCCCAATTCACCTGGGCGCCTGCTTTCCACCCGCGGCCTCTATTTTCGCCTGCCTCGTGTGATTCACAAGACATCCTGGATTTGGGCCTCCCCTTGTCCCCTTCCTCCATCTCAATAATTTCCTCTCCAGCCTTCGTCCCGACCGCTGTCCGGTAAGCTTTGAGTTCTACACCCTCGCTATCTCTTACCTGGCTATCTCCGCCGTACCCTCCTGCTGACTTTTTCCCGCCGGAACGCTTCCCTAGCATGGTGCTTAGGTCGGAACATCCTAGGAGACTGAGAAGCCCGCTCTCTTCGTCCTCCCTACCCATCGCTATCATAGCCTCCTAAGTCCTCACTTCTCCATGGCTCCGCCGCAAACGCCCCGGCCGAATCCCGGTTCCACAATGTCCGATCCTGCGTCGACATCCATCCCTGCACACGCCACGAACGGCGAGGCCCATGCGCCCAACGACCACCACCACCACCCCCAACTTCCCTTATCAGACTCCAAACCCGTGTCGGTTAACCGCAAGAAGCAAAAACGCAGACAAAAACAGGCCGCCCGCTTGGCTGCGGAGCGTCAGTTCGGAAACGGCCACATCTCCGCGGACATGTCTGAGCAGAACGGTCTGAGCCCTACCGCGCCAGCGTCTCATGTATCCGACGAGCACGACCTCGACGAACGCGCCAACGGCGAAACGTACTATGAGGAAATTCACGACGCGACACATGATCTGGACGACCACCCGCCGAGTCTGTCAAACGGGCAACCGGGACAACAAAATGCCACGGCTCGAAAATCTAAGAAGAAGAAAGGAAAGAAGAATCGGGCCGGCTCGCAGACCATGGGCGATGAAAGTTCGACACCACTGTCCACTCCTTCTGTCTCCATGTCACAGCATCTGCCCCCGCCGTTACCGCCGCATCTGCCTCATACGCTTCTGAAGACGAGTAAGGACCGCAGCATTTGGAACACCTCCACGCAAGAAGAGCGAGAGAACATCAAGACGTTCTGGCTTGAGCTTGGGGAGGAGGAGCGACGCCAGCTCGTCAAGGTGGAGAAGGATGCGGTCTTGAAAAAGATGAAGGAGCAGCAGAAACACTCGTGCAGTTGTACCGTATGTGGGAGGAAAAGGACGGCCATCGAGGAGGAATTGGAAGTACTATACGACGCCTATTACGAGGAGTTGGAACAGTACGCCAACAACAACCAAGGCTCGTTCGAGAAGGGCCCGCCCATGGTCCCGCCTCCACGTCTATACCACCCACCTCTACGATCACCCGGTCAACATACACGGACGCAAGGCCAATTTCATCCCTCTCGAGGCCGAATTCATGAGTTGCCGGAAGACGACGAGGATCTGGAGGAGGACTACGATGAAGATGATGAGGATGACGAGCCGTACAGCGACGACGATTACGAAGACGAAGAGACTCGTGCAGCCCGCGCGGATTTCTTCGCCTTTGGGAATAGTCTAACTGTGAAAGGTAGGCGACGACCGAGGCTTTTTAAATCTCGGAAGCTAGACACTAATCTCTTTGCATCACTTGCAGATGGCATCCTTACAGTCGCGGACGATCTGTTAAAGAACGACGGGAAACATTTCATCGACATGATGGAGCAATTAGCTGAGCGCCGAATGCAACGTGAAGAGGATACCCAGTACGGCATAGCAGCAGCACACCAATCCCTCCATGGCGGCCACAACCACGGTCCTCTAGATGACGACGATTATGACGAGGAAGAGGACGAGGACTACGATAGTCAGGAAGATGAAGATTATGAGGAGGATGAAATGGTCAGCTCCGGGAACTGGCCGGGTGGTGATGCAGTGCAAGCTGACTCGTTTCTGCAGGACGCCATGACGGAAGAGCAACGCATGGAGGAAGGCCGACGGATGTTTCAAATATTTGCGGCCCGAATGTTCGAACAGCGCGTCTTGACAGCCTATCGAGAAAAGGTCGCAGAACAACGTCAGCAGAAACTGATCGAGGAACTCATGGAGGAACAAACGCGGAACGAGCAGCGAAACGCCAAGAAAGCGCGGGAAGCTCAGAAGAGGAAGGATAAGAAGAAGCTCCAAAAGCAGGCCAAGGAGGAAGAGAAGGCGCGAAGGGAGGCGGAGAAGGCGGCCGAGGAAGCTGCGGCCAAGGCTGAACAGGAGAAGAAGCTGGAAGAGCAGAGGAGGAAGCGCGAGGAACAAAAGAAGAAGCGAGAGGCAGAACGCAAAGCCCAAGAAGCGGAGCGTCTCCGTAAGGAGGCGGAGAAGCAAAAGCGGTTGCGCGAAGAAAGAGAGCGACAGGCTGAGATTGAAAGAAAGCAGCGAGAGCAGAAGGAGCTGGAGAAGAAGCGACGAGAAGAAGCGCGGCAGAACGACCTGCGGGAGAAGAAGACGAAGGATGAGCGAGAACGTCAAGTCAAGGATGCGCAGACACGTCGGGAGGCCGCCCCCAGGACTGAGTACGAAGGTCAGGAGAAACGCGATCCCCAAGCGAAACGAGTGTCGCATACAGGACCGGTTCCGATCCCAGCCAGCTTGCAACACGCCCAAGCGCTCCCCGCATACTTGCAGTCGCCGCACTACCAAATCGCCACTCCGATTGTCCCCAAAGCTCCGACACCTGCCAGGCCGCGGCAACCGTCTCAGCAGGGCTCCCATACATCGTCTCCGCGGTCCCAGCCTGCAAGCACCGAGCCATCACAAGTATCCATTTCCCCACGATCGATGGCGCCGTCGCAGTCGTCAGGAGCGTCCAGCGTTACGTCCAAGCAGGGCCATGGACAACAGCCGTTGCTTCACCACCCCCAGCCCTCGACTCCCCTGTCTCCCCTTGGTGCGTTGAACCGCTCTCATCCACCCGGATTCTCGCCATCGAACCCGCCTGGATTGGGCCTGGTCTCCCGTCCGCCGATTGGTCACGAGTTACCTTCATACCCGCCGCATTCGGGCCCGCTGATGAACCAACTGCGAGGATTTCCTGCGCCAAATGGACTGCCCGTGCTTCCAAGCATGAACGGAACTCGTCCTATGCCTCCGGGACGTGCCTTTCCGCTCGATCCAGGACATGGCCTAGCATTCCATCAGCAGCCCATAACCAATGCGTTCGCTGCGCAGCCGAGCGGGCTGTCTCATGCTCATTCCAGACAGCCGTCCAGCTCGTTTGAGCGGTCGCCTCTGGATGCGCATGCCTTCCCGATCTCCCGGCCCAGCCCTATCAAGCGCCCGTCAAGCACCCAACAAGACCAGAACAACCGGTCAGCGCAGCGCGATGTGGACGATCTAAGTGCGCATCTGGGCAGCAGTGCTCTTCTCGATGACAGTGATGTTCCGTTTACTTCGAATCTGTCCCAGTCGCTTCCTGGCGCGACTGCTCCTGGCACCTTCCCTGGACCGACCCGAGCCAGCTTTGCAGGAACGTCCCTCTTCGCAGATCCCCTAGGTAAGTACCGTTGACAAGTAGTCACGGCTGTCGCATAAGCTGACAACTTCATAGCAGCCAAGCATAGTGGTTTCCCGATTGGCCCGAGTGTAGGAAATACGTGGAGTACACAGATTCCCTTCGGCACGTCTCCTTTCCCCAGCGCTCCAACATGGGGAACAGGACCTGGTCAGTTTCACCTCGACGTCAGTCCTTTCTGTGCCATCAACTGACGACCTTTATAGGAAGTGGCTGGTCCAACAACGCATTTGCTCCCGGCGGTCACCACCGTGCGCATGCCTCTCGGCCCGTAACGATACGACTGCTGGTCATCCAAGCCTGCAAGCAACTCAACATGATGAGCCCTTCCAAGGGAGCCAGTGGGTACCATGATGTGAACGTTGTCCTTCGTCAGGTAAATCAGCTACGGCCGGCCAATGAGCCTCCGATCTCGTTAAAGGAAATGCTGGACATCTGCGACACAGAAGGCAACACGCAGAACGGAGGCGGATCGTTCTCGATTAGGAGCGACGAAACGGGCGAATGTGTCAAGTTCGAACCGGACACTAACAGTGCGTCCTCAGGTCACAGAGGCAGCATTGTTCCAGGGGAAATCGGCAGTCCGGTTCCTAGTAGCAGTCTTCCAGCGTTCGGCGGGATCGGCTCATCAACATCATCCGTGCTCCGACAGTTTTCTTCCCCTACGGGGTTCTAGGCTTCCAGTTGCAATGGCACGAGAATCATTGATGACATCCTCACTTTCTTCCCTTTTCTGTCATCTGCTCCCTCTCCATCAATTCCCTCCTACTCTACCGAATGAAAGCATCCATCGTGTCATCAAACCCTCTTCTTCCATCCTCATTCCTATCTTCTTTCACCCTACCACATCACTGATGAGCTTCCTCGTGTTCCGAGTTCCCATTTTCCATCTTCTCTTCCTACGCACATTGAACAGACATTAATCATGTCATGTACGTTACGTTGTTCTCTTCTTTTTGCCTTGCTTGTTTTTCTTGCACCGCTTCCCCACCGGAAATCCAGGTGGGTGTTCTGAAAGTGAAACCCCCACCATTTTCTTGTTTGTTTTGCCCTTTCTTTCTTCCTTATGTAGCGATTCCCAAGGAGCATTATTCCAAAAGGCTCCCAAATACCTCATGTTCGTTTGAAACTCCGTGTTAAAACAATTGCATGATGCGAATCGGATCTTTATCAGGTGGTCAATTGATTGATTGACTGATCCTGATCGTTCCGTACTTAAACTTCTTCTACCTCTTCTTCTCCTTCCTTCTAGTTTTACTAGTTCTTGTCGTCTGCTTTGATTGGTGAGGTTATTGTAGATATGTGTAGAGGTGACTAGATAAGGTAGGAAGTATTTATTAGTTAGATAGTAAGGCATCGTAGGCATTATACTAGTATCCAACTAACTAGTTACCTACTACTCACTACGTAGTAAGCACCATCTTTTAGGTGTCTTCAGTCTCTCCCTAGTTACTAATGATAATAGTAGACGTAAAGTAGAATAGCAGAATATGATATATAAATAGAATGGAATCAAAAGCTTTCTCTATCGGAGATCAAATTTTCCTCCCTAGTAACTATAAGAAAGGTGAAAAAAAAAAGGGTATGATAATGATGTGAAGATGATGATACACTGATTGATATATTCGACTCAAAGTGAGGGCGGACATAAGATAGGGTAGGGTAGGGTGATAATCGGTTCATGAAGCAGAAGAAAGAGAAGTGGGTGGGTAGAAAGAGAACGGAAAGGGAATCTTACACGCGCAAGGCTGGAAGAGAAAAGAAAACAGGGCAAACGGATGTCTGGGGATACATGGGCTGTAGTGGTAGTGGTAGGTAACATCGCTCATTCATACGGGAGGAGGGTCATGCAATTTCACTGTCTGGGATCGGTGACTACGCCTTCGAAATCCCGGGATCGGATGTAATCCAGTGTGCGCTGGAAGTGTCGCTTCGGGCCCTCCAGGCTGGGGTTGGGCTCGTTTTCGTCCGTCTGCAAGTTTGAGTGGATGAGTTCGATAAGGCCGTTGAGGTATTTGATCGTGACGGTTTCGTTCTGTTGGTCGAAGTAGTAGACGTAGCGGTTGAGGATCTCGACGAAGAGTTCCACGGACACGGCAGTGTCCATGCAGGCGTCTGCGACGCGGAGGGCCCGTTGGAGGCACTCGAGGACGCGCTTGCCGTCGCGGTAGAGCTGATTGATGTTAGAAGTTGACTGTGGGGTGTCACTAGATGAGGGTGGACTTACGTTCTTGGGGTCTTCTTCGCCTCGTTGGGGGTTCTCGACAACCCACCACAGGTGACTGGCTAGGTATACAGCGCGGCATTGGTCGGGTTTCTTCAGCAGCTTGCTTCCATGCAGAGCCGCCTTGGTAATGAGGGTATCATAGTTCTCCTTGGAGAACCCGCGGGTGCCATGGAGAGCTCCCGCAATGACGCAGACGGCTTGGAACTGAGCACGTGAGTCACTGATGGAGTCCTCGTAGATGGTGAAGGCTTGTGCAAAGAATTCGTAACTGAACTCTTCGAAGCCCGTCTGGTCCGCCACTTCTCCGCACATCACAAACAGACGCAGGGACAAATCGGCACAGCCAGGGTTCACACGCTGGTAGAGGTTGTTGACACACTGGTGCATGAACCGGTAAAGGGCTGAGGACTGCGACTGCCAGTTGTCGTCGTAGTGCTCGCGGGCCTTGAGTTTGCGTGCCAGACGGATCGAACTCGTGACCAGGGCGGGTGTTGTGTATCGGATACGCTCGTTACCATCGAGGTAAGCCTTGCGGGTTGCTTGGAGTAACTTAAAAGGAGGTTAGAGGTGGTCATATTGTATCGGAAAGAGGCATTACCTTCAACTGAGTATCATTGTCTTTGGCCTGGATCAGATGAACCAGACGTGCAAGCCACCCCTGTTCCTCGATGGTCTCATCAGTCTCACCTCGTCGCTGAGACTGAATACCAGGATAGCCCATAGACTGCTGAGTGCCTTCCTTGATCAAAACCCTTAGGGCTTGCAGCACGCGGTCGAGGTTTTCCGTAGTCGTGATGAAAGTTCGGTTCTTGAGAAGACTGCGAGCGATTTCGCCTGCGACAGCTCGCCGGGTCGTGTAGGATTGCGAAGTCAGAAGTGGGATGTAGTGGGGCAGGGCAAGAGCCGTGAATATGGAGGCGTAGGAACGGAGAGGTGCGGTAAGGAGGTGCAAAAGGTTCTGCTGTGTCGGGGCAGAGTGCAGGTCGGCATGGTCGGCATACGTCGCAGTCTCTTTAGTCGCAAAGTCGAGGATCTGGTCGACAAATTCTAGGCGATCCGGGTAGGTGTTAAGAGCCAGGTTGACAAGCGAGACCAGAAGCGCCATTGTGTCTTGGATAGGGAGGCCGCGGCTCTTGATCAGGTTAACCACTTGTTCATAGAAGATGTCGTACAGCTTGACATTGGCTGGAACTCCAGCCTTGTCGTCGCCATTGGCCGTGGGCTCGCCTTCTGTCGTAGCTTCAGCCTGTTCAGCATCATCCGTTGCGGCTTGCTCCACGCCGTTCTCCTGGGTCGCTTCTTCCGGCGCTTCCTTCTTGGTCTCCTCAGATACCTTAAGGTTCCCAAGGAGCTTGGTGACAGCCTCCTCTTCCTTCTTGATTCTTGCATCGGGCTCGGCGGACGACTCGGTCTCACGAGCTGCATAAGCTGACAAGCGGTCCATCAATCCAATGACAATCTTCTTCAGGTCCACGTGGGGGTTGAGTCGAGCGATTGCGGAGAGGAGGAGATCAAGGGTGTGCAAGTGAAACTCGTCGGGGAACACCTTGGTGATTACTGCGCCCTCAGTTAGCATGCCAGACCTTCGACAGACGATTGCGTCATTTTACCTTCAAGGAGATACTCCTGCGCCAAAACATCACGACACTGGACGACCTGCTCCAGCAGTGCCTGTAGTATACCAGATTTGTATCCTTCCAGATCCACCAACTGGCTGAGTCGCACAACATTGCTACCGACAAGCAGCTCCAGTTCCCGGCGCTCCTGCATCCGCTTCTCGCGCTCGCGCGAAGGGCCCTGGTGCTGGAGTCGCACCCACAGCTTGTTCATCTCGACGAAGTTTGTCAGGACGAAGCTAATCGAGTCCTGCAAGTTGCCCTCCGGACCCTCTCCAGAGCCTGTGGGCAAGTGGTCTCGAGCCTGTCCGGACAGATAGTACCGCAGGAACAGCCCGCGGATGGGATGCTGCACGCCTCGACTCATCTCCATCATGTCCTTCATAATCTCTTTGACCGGAGCATCCTCCACAGACATGTATACTGTACCCACGGTAATCATAAGATAGAGTCGCGGAATGATATTTCCGGCATATTGAACGAGTTCGTACAAATCCGCCAGGTGGTTAACCGGGTGGTTTTCTTTCAGATAGACGGATAGGTGTCGCAGGGCATCGAAGACGGCCATGTAAAGTTCGTAGTATTGTTTCGGACCAAGGCTAGGGGTTCGTAGCTCGGATACCAAGGTGGACCTGAAGCAATTGGCAGAATGCATCAGTTATCTCGACCCCAATTCCATTGCTGCCTGGAGTCTCCGCGAAGCTTAAGCTTACCCGCATTTCAACGCATCCATTAATTTCCCCGGAGTTTCCAAGCATTTTCGCATCATCTGCGACTGTTGCCGCACAACTCCCAATGCCTCCTCGAGGAGACGGCTCTGGTCTTCGGGGGCCGCTACCGGGGTGGCCATGGCGGATATGAGGTGATGATGTGGAGGGGAGTGTCGGACTCAGTGGCTTGAATCGGGCGGTAAACACCTGGTCGGAAAGGGGGAGGGGCGGAGAGGGGAATTCGTAGATGGGAGCAACAGAAAGGCACGATGCGCTAGAAGATCAGGCGGGGATTCAAACAGCTCCTGACCCATAGACAGGAGTAGGATAAAAGGGACAGCAGGAGCAGGAGAAGGTGGGAGGATGGGGAGGTGAATGCGAATGCGGACATGCGATCAGAATGCCAGTTAGTTTACGGCCTGGGGCTGGGCGTGGGTTATGTAATCCTCGCCCCATTGCTGTACGTCACACTCTCCCCAGGTATAAATACTTCTTTCTTTCTTCAAGGATTGAGGATCTCCAAGCGCGACCCTTGAAGAAACTTGTATTAATACTTTTGAGTGCCAGTTTGTCTTGCCAGGCCAATATGTGAAGAATGTCTTGACCCGTGCTGGTGACTGAACAGGCTGTTGGATAGGCAATTGACAGCTTGTTCCCTCATCTCAGTTGTCTTTCTCTGCAGGGGACAACGTCCCTAAACTGCACTCAACTCTCTAACGTCGAGAGAAATGAAAAATAATGCGGTCATATTGTATTGAACCAGAGTTCGATTCATTGGACTGCCTCTGGATCCCATCATCTCCACACCCGTCACATCTCGTCTCGCGTTCCCCGATCACAGCAGGGTATAAACCATTGTTCGCTAGCAGCAGGCTGGCCAAAGAAACAGGCCCCGAAATACTCACGAATATCGTTGGGATAGTGAAGTCAATGTCTTCATGGTAAGGACAGATCGTGTCTTCCGATTCTAGTTTCCGCTAGTCTCTATCTCTCGCACTACCTGAAGCCGGAAGAGATCAAATGGCTTGACCAGGCTGCCGATTGTGCCAGCAGAGGGGATTTTAAACAACCCAAGGTAGATGGGGAGACAATACCCACGCATGGGGCGCGTATATAAAAGTTCATCCTAGTGCGCATATAAAGATCATCCTCATGCGGGGTAATCTCGATGGCAGAGGTTCAATCCCGCTAGTCAACTGGATGTAGTGTGCTATGAGACATTGTGGTATTGAACAAGCAGTGCAGTTTCCACTGGCGCAGAGGATTGCCATCAGTTCGTCCTTGCGTAGGGAGACCATATCGCCTGTTGACTTCCATCTCTAGGCATAAATTTTGTATACGAAGCTCGATTATTCACTTGGCCGAGCCTCGATTTAGAACAGTCCATACACTCAGTCTTGACGAACACATGAATTACGTCGGGTTTAACTGGCGTCAACGACAACTTGGATGCCCTTCGTACGGATGGAGTCTACTCCGTCGGTCAAGTTGTTGGGCATCTTCTCCGCAAGTGGAGAGGTTTGGTTAATGGAAAGGAAGAATGATCGTATCGTCCAAAAATGTACTGGAAACCACTGGCTGTACATCCCTGCCCTCGGTAGCGGATTCGGGGATGGACTTCCGCGGGGTGGAGCAGCAAAAGCAATCACGCCTATCGCGCCTATCACGCCTTTCACTAGGTGCTTAGACCGTGTCTTTAGGCATGTCTTTAGCCCGTATCTTTCAGCTGCTGCGTGTTCAGCCGCAGACGAGAGAATCGGACTTGACATGACAGATTCTTCCCCCCGTCAACACCCACGGCACACGCACGGGCAAGATGGGTTGTTTGGGATTGAAAAGGTTGCTTGGAAAGAAGCCAACGCACGAAAAAAATGTTCAGCCAGCAAACACGGCGGTTGCAAACGGGGCAGTTGGTCCTCGGCCAGCTCAACAAGATCGGCCCGAGAAGGCAACCGATGCTTCTCTCAGCAAGGAAACACCGGCCCGTGATGAATCGCTCTGGGACCAGGCGTATAAGAATCTCGATCCAGGCTTGGTTGAAAAATATGAAGAATTATTGGCAGAACAAAGACAGGAGATTAGTGAGTTTCTCGTACTTTTCCTGGGTATTGAATACTAACAAGGAAAGATGATAATTCTTGCAAGAATGGAACCAACCGCCAGCAAGACTTGGACATCATCATCAATCACGGGCTTCATCAGGCAGAAATCCAAAGGACGGGTGTTCAGGAAGGCTTGGCCCAAGCTGCAAGCTGGATTTTGTCCGTGAAAGACTTCATTGGAGAAGCGGTCAAGGCATCGCCAGAAGCGTCGTTGGCATGGGCAGGGGTCTGCATTGTCCTGCCATTGCTGACGAACCCCCAGAGTGCGGCACAGGCCAACAAGAGTGGATTTACGTATGTCACCGGTCGCATTCGCTATTATGTCGAACTGGAGCGGATTTTGTGGTCAACTTCCAGCCGGAGCTCGGATCATACAGGGCTGAAAGAACAATTCAATGCCAACATTGTCAAGTTGTACCAGGAAATCCTACACTTTGAGGTCAAGAGTGTTCTGCGCTTCCATCGCAGCTGGCAGCGAAACTTCGCTGGTGATATCTTCCAACCGGAAGATTGGAACGGCATGGTTTCCTCGATCAAAGATCTCGAAAAGTTGGTCCAGCAAGATGCTGCCACCATTAGCACCGAGGTATCCCGACGGCATCTAAACGAAGTGGAACAAAGTACTCGCCACAACTTTGAATCAATGCAAAAGCTTCTTCCATTCGCACAACGGCACCTTGAAGTGGATATCGAGGCTCTCAACCTCCAACGCCAGATGCATGAGGAAGCATTGTCGGTCAAGGAACAAGAATGTAGGCAGCTTTTCCGCCTGGCCAGAAACGAGGAGGACTCTTCCTATGAATTGTATAAGAGCCGAGTTGACGATCGACTCGAGGGCACCTGCGAATGGTTTCTAGAACAGCCCCATTTTAACCAGTGGCTGGATGATGATAGAGGGCTTTTGATCGTTTCAGCAGATCCTGGTTGTGGCAAATCTGTTCTTGCCAAGCATCTCATCGACAATGTGTTGCCTCAGTGCAATCCATCCGCCACAATATGCTACTTTTTTTTCAAGGGTGAAGACCAGAATACACAGAAGCAAGCCATCTGCGCATTGCTGCATCAGATCTTCACGAACAAGCCTGACTTGATCAAGCTTGCAATGAACGTAATCAATGACAACGGGCAGGAAACCGTCAACGTGGTTACTAAGCTCTGGGAGATCTTTTCCCAGGTCATCAAGGACCCTGCTATGGGACAAACCATCTTTGTATTGGATGCGCTAGATGAATGCAAGGATTCCGAGTTAGTTGACCTAACAGACAACATTAAGTCCATTCAAAACGATGGTGGAACCAGGGCTAGGTTCTTCCTGACCAGCCGACCGTATGAGAACGTCATATCGGAATTCCGAGAGCTCATTAATAATTTCCCCCATATTCACATACCGGGCGAAAATGAATCCGACAAGATTGGCCAAGAAGTGAACATCGTCATCAAGCATCGTGTTGAGCGCCTGGCTCGAAAGAAGCGTCTCTCTGCCTCCATCCAGAGCTACTTGGAAGAGCGACTACTTCGAATGGAGCACCGGACATACCTCTGGGTCCATCTTGTTTTTGAATACTTCGAAACACATAGCTTTCAAAAGGTCAAAAAAGGGATTGACAGGGTTTTCATCGATAAGCTCCCCAAGGACGTCAACGATTCATATTGCAAGATCCTTAGTAAGTCTGAGGATATGGACATGGCACGAAAAGCCTTTTGCGTTATGCTGGCTGCATCCCGCCCCTTGACGTTGACGGAGATGAACATTGCTGTTAATCTAGACCTTGACTCAGATGAGCTGGATCTAGAATCGGACGAAGACTTTCAGGCCTCGTTGCGAAGCTGGTGCGGTTTACTTCTGACGGTAAATAACAAGAAGGTGTTTTTCCTACACCAAACAGCACGAGAATTCTTGGCGCAGAAAAATGGCTTTGGTCGCTGCAGCGAACGTGGCCCAATTGATCCAAAGGAGGCACAAGGCGTCCTTGCCATCAGCTGCATCACATATATCGACAAGTTTATGCCACGGGCTCATCAGACCAAGTCGGCAGAAGATCTAACTTCGATTGATATAAATCGAGACTTCTCCAAATATTCTGCTGACAAGTGGTCTTCCCATATCCGGGCTGCAGCACTGGAAGATGACCAGAAACTGGAGCCAATCCTCACCAGAATCTGTGATCCAGAATCCGATGTCTTTGCCTCTTTGCACGGGGCTTCTCCCTGGGTCTCGAGAAATTGCAATACACTGTGGATGGCCGCCAAATTCGGCCTGACATCGGTTGTCAAGAGAATTCTTCAAAACGAGGAGATCAAAGACGTTCAGGGGAGTCGTTTTACGAAACAAAGTATTTCCCGTGTCGCTGCAACTTGTCGTAATGTCGAGGTCCTAAATCTCCTGCTTGACTGTGGGAAACTAGACTGGCATAAAAAGGACAGACATGGTTATACTCCGTTGTTCCGCGCCATACTCTCAAATCATGTAGCAAGCGTGCGATGCTTGCTTCATAGTGGCAAAGCTGATGTCCGCCACGAATGCAACCGAGGTACACCCTTGATCTTCGCATTGCTCTTCTCAAGCGACGAGATGGTCGAAATGCTCGTTCATACCGAAGGTATTGATATGAATGGGTGCTTCTGTGGATACAACGCGCTTGCGATGGCAGTGCGCGAAAGAAGATATGATATGGTGAAGCTACTGCTTGATATGGAGGCGGTAGAGACGAACCCATCGTACCTTGGAAGCATAACACCACTGGTTGTGGCGGTCATGCAGGATGACGAGGCCATGGTCAAGCTGTTACTGGATTCAGGAAGGATAGACCTGAATCAGCAGTGTAAGCGAAATATCGAGACAGGCACAGCTTTGAAGTTTGCCCGATCGAGTAAACTCTCTAAAATGGTGGAATTGCTCGTTAAGGCTGGCGCGGTTGAATAGATGCTATGCTTGACCATGAGATTTACTAAGTCACCATCTGAAGCTCGTGATGTAAAATCATGTACCTACGCCAAAAGTGTCCGCTTTTATCTCTCCTCTGCCTTTCCATCCAAGGAGGGCAATAAATATATGTATAAAGGGCCCATGAAAATGCAGTTATAATCTAGTAGAGTTCGACTCACTGCTGACTATAAACTACTTCAGTCAAATCTGTTCCATTTAGTACATCTAGACTACAGAATCAAATAGAAGAGAAGTATAAAAAAGCAAGAAAACGATATGAAAGAATAATAAGCCATAATAAACAAAGGGCTTTGTAAAATAAACTTAGTACGACGATAAGATGTAATCCGGTCATGTGTCTCTGAACACTGCTTGCCATCACAAACTAGTAACTAGATATTGACTGGGGCCGGTGTAGTCAGTCCGTTTGCTGTCTTCTAGTAGTTAAATCAAGTGCTTCTTCGTATATCATCAAGCCATTCCAATTTTTATAGCAATCTATCCTATACCTGAAATAACCCAACCACAATCTAGACCTAGTACGAACCCGAAATCGCAACGAAAGCAATCGCTACCTCTTATCGAATCAACCAAAACCTTTCCCACAAGAGAGCATGAAACCGCCAGAGAATCATAAGAAAAAAACACAAAAGCAATGGAAAGAAGGAAAAAGAAATCAGAACAAAACGCCCCTATAGATGCATGCTATCATGACCATATCCCCACCCCCACCATGAGCAGTCATGACTTGTCGTGACGATGCAAAAAACCGAAATCGTGAAAGAAGCACATGCTCATTATCCATCAAATTCATGAAACGTGTTTCATACCAGTCGTTGGCAACCCAATTTCCAACCTCCAGAACGATATGGCAAGACCTGGGTAAGCGACACATTGACCCCTGAAGATGACTTTACGCCTGAGAGTCTGTTTGGTTCAGACCCCTGGCTTGAGGCCTGGAAGACATGACGGCGGTGTCAGAGGGGGTGTCATTGAATGCCCGTGTCTGCAAAACTGTATCATTCCGGGCGCGAATGGCGACCTTGCTGCCAATATCAGTGGCGTTCTCGGGCTTCTGAGTATCCCGGGCCATTACCCCGAACTTGCCACTAACATCGCTGGCATTGTGATGCTCGGAAACAAGGGCATCCTTGAGCTGCCGAGTCTGCACCGCTGTCTCGTTCAAGCTACGGGCCAAAACTTCCGAAGTGGTGTTGCTGCGAGCGACAATTGCATGCTTTTCGGTGCTGTTGGTAGGGGCATCCTCAAACATCGCACGGCGGCTCAGAGTGCCGTTGGTAGGGGCATCCTCCTCAAACAGCGCACGTCGGCTCGCAGTGTTGTTGGTAGCATCAACATCCTTCATGAGAACACGCCGGCTCAGAGTGCTGTTACTAGCATCGTCAAGGATTCCACGTCGACTCGCGGTACTGTTGGTAGGGGCAGTCTCCTCAAACATCGCACGTCGGCTCAGGGTGCTGTTGCTAGCATCGTCAAGAATTCCACGTCGGCTGGCAGTATTGTTGGTAGGGGCAGTCTCCTCAAACATCGCACGTCGGCTCAGGGCGCTTGCACTGCTGTTGGTGTCGCGGCGACCCAGCGGAGCACCACCCACGTTAGGTCCGGCATTCCAAGGTGAGGGAGAAGCGCCAGACACGGAAGCTGGTGTGGACGAAGGGTACTCAGTGACAGTAATAGTGGTAGGCGGTGCCGGAGGGTTGGTCGCAGTGATGGTCTCGACAACGGGAGTAGTAGGACCCGCAACATTCACGACTTTGTAGGGACCTTCTTCTCTACGCTCGACAGTGTCGTTCCCACGAGCGTTGAAGACAGGCACCGCATGGGCAGAGAGGGAGAGAGCAAGGAAGAGAGCAGCGGTATGCATGGTGCTGCCGGTGCAATATGGAAAGGTCTGTAGATGCTGAATGTAAGGGAAGACCAGGAGAGATATAACACAGAAGCAGAGAAACGAAGTAGTCTATCAAACACAACAAGGATTTTAAGAAGATTATAATGCTTAGTATAAGAGTCTTTTGATTAGACCGAGTGATTTGAAACTGGAGCAACAGCAACAACCGACGAGACAAGGGCTCAATTTATGATTTGGATTCACCAACAACACAGCACACACACACACCGACCAACCAGGCTATGAACACAACAAAAATTGGCGCCTAGAAAAAATAAATTAAGAAAATCAGTGACAAGCAAGCAAGATCTACACGGGTGCGGCAGATGTATATGCCATCATACACGGCACGAAGCCCCATCGTCGGGGAGAAAAAAAAAGGTGCAGGCTGGCGCATCATGATACTGTCAAAGGAGGCTGGGATGGGATGGATGGAGTCTGTTTCTGCCAGCCACGTTGGTTTCTGGTGGGCAGAAGGGCACTAGAACAACGGATCGCCGTTTTCCCAGCGGCAAAGACCCTGTGCGTTAATTGATTTCTTTTGTGCCAATTATATCTTCGACAGGCAGCATGATTTAGATGGCCAATGGATGAAGATAATGAAGGGAAATAATTACTTTTATTATTTCTAACTAAAAAATACTAATATGTCACGCCAAAAATAAGAAAATGGCACTAAACGTGCTAATTAAAGCTGGAAATCCCGTGACGTGACCGGGCCCTCTTCTGTCAAATCCAAAGTGGCTGGGGAGGGATCCACTTTCTCTAATCCCCTCACAGCCCAGTCCAGGTTCATCTCAGACGGTCTCATTGCCCCTGTTACTACGTTCTTACTACATCCTGCTTGGATCACACAATGTCTGAAGTCTGGAGCGTAGATCCCCATCACGTCTACGTCATGCTCTGAATTTCTAGCCTCCAGCAGAGCTTACCGGAGCATTAACACGGCGGCGGTGTGAGCGCCACTTATCCCCCGTTTACACCTTATCTCGACAGCAGAAACACAGAATGTGGTGGTACAGAATAACAGTATCAATAATGGTACTGAGTCGAGTCAATAGGAGAAACGACTGACAACCCACCAGACGCTAAAGACCCATCATCCCTTTTCCTCCCTTTTTACTCCCTTTTAGGCATGGCACCGCAACAGGGATAGCCAATAAAGCAGGATCAGCATTTTGCCATGGGCATATCATATCACATCACATCACAGCGCATCACAGCCCCAGCTCAGGCAGGGTCCTCGGGATCTCCTTCCCCGTGTTCCCTCAGATCTAGATGCCAACTCAGGTTTCGAAGTTGCCTGCATCTCCTACGGCACCTCCGGATGCATAGGGGAGAAGCATGCACTCTACGACAAACACAATAATATCTGGTGTGTTACGCGTCGAGCTGTTGTTTGTTTACCTGTATAGGTAAGTGCTGCTATTGCTGTGGTAGTATGTGCGGTGGGATTCGAGATTCTGTTCATGAATTTTGTCCATATCTACAGCTATCCATCCGAACTCACTCGCGCCATGGATACAGCCATTCAGGCGTTACTAAGTATAACACATCTTAGTGGCTCACACCTCAACCCAATAAAATCCCTTTATTTAGCACGCATCCTTTCGAGGTTCGGTGATCGACCATGCAAGCGCCCACGGTCCCCCGTGCCGATCCCAAGGAACAGCTCAACGCATCTGGCTGCGGTGTGACCTAGTTAGCGGTTAAAAAAGCCACAGCCATGAGGACATGATGTTGGTTCGTGGCCAGCGTTTATCACATGCACGGTGGGCCGCGTAATAATATTCCCGGCCGCGGCGTTGCGAGTAGATATACTCCGATATGCCTTGAGGGATTTACCCCGTCGTAAACAGTATAGACATATTTTTGTAGATCGTATGATTGTTTCTTCCAGATACTATATCAGAAGAAGGTAGCGATTTTAGTAGATTCTAGAAGGAAGTAATATATGAGTAGAATGGAAACCTGGTCAAGAAACCCAGAACTACTTCACAACCAGAGAAAGCAAAGCCCATATACCCAAACTAACCCAAGAGGTAAAAGACAATATTAATACTACAGCATCACGAACTAATCCAACCTACATAGTACTAACTTTCTTTTTCCCACCCTCTCAGGGATATCACAGGGAGAACCCCAACACAACTAGGAAAGTCTACGCTAAGAAAGCATATCTGACTACGGAGTAGTCCTAACATCTCATCACCCAAGCTTACCTTACGCTATGCCTATGCTTCCCAAATACCCCTTCTCCTAACTCGCACCGCAGAGTAGTACATAGAGAAAAACAGTGAAAGACTACGCCATCCATCCCTGCACATAAACGCCCCTCCAGGAGCTATTGAACTATAGTAGTATATCAAACACCATCGAGATGACGCAATCCACTGAGAAGATTCCGGAAAATAAGAAAAAAATTTTAGAGAAAATCTGAATAGTGATACGTACCCCCTGCCATTCAACGAGAAGATAAGATTTAGAGAGTCATGACATGACATGACATGACATGACCTTAGATGAGACGAGACGTCATCACCTGCAATTGCTCGCTAGCTTGGATGTAGCTGATATCATCAGATGGAGATTATTTATGTGGAATGGTACTTACTTACTTATCGAACTAGATACTTCGGTTATGGTTCAAGCTAGGAGATATGGAGAGCGTATAGTAGCTAGCTAGAATCATTGTGCTTGCAGTATGCGGGTCGTTGTGATATGTGTGTCTTTGTTAGACCGATCAGTAGTCCTGATGGTTCTGTCCAGTGAGTTCAGTGTTTTCGTTATTATGGTAAGGGTATATCATCTTATACTATTTAGTAGTATTAGCATTCTCCACTGCATAAGATAGTATATCATAGGGGCCTGGGGGCGCGCGTAAAGAGGGTCGCAGTATTAATTATTAATAATCTGCCATCTTCACTGATTATTTTATAACAATTTTTGAATTATTTGCTACAGTAGTAATTGCTTATGTTATAACCATAAAACAATCATTTATTATCATTTTTATATGATATTCATCGCAGGGGGGGGGGGGGGGAAGAAGATAAAAAAAAAAGTATAATAATGATAATAATGATAATAAGTAAATAAAAGCTGACCTAACCTGGTTAGATAAGCTCTATATTGATTATAGGTTATATAACAGCTAAAAGCGATTAGCACGGGTCAGGTGAGCTGCGTCCTGGCTAGCTAACTGGTCTTGTCAAATTCCAAGAGATCCATCACAAGTACATACATCTCCGTTGCTAATCACCCCGTAGATTACTCTCCTATACTCCTCTCTCTCTCCTTCATTCGACTTTTTCTTGCTTTTTGTCACTCAAAATTATTCATGATATCCCCTTTCTGCTCTCTCTCAGACTTGATTACTGAGCAGCATAGATGGTCAATATGATGGTCCCTCAAGTTATAGTATTCCAGTGTATTCCCGATGGATTGTAATATATCAAGGTAAGACTGAGAGAGAGAGAACCGAGTGAAACAATCAAAGTAAAACCAAGCAGAAAACCAACTTACTGAAATATACTCTATCACGGGCAATAATCCACCTCACCTTCACACCCTGTCCACTCAAAATGTACTACATCCACAATCCTCCTCAAAGTCCGCGGCTCCAAAAGACTTCTCGTGATATCCGCCAACCACGCCGCATGCAAAGTAGACGAAGACCGACATACTCCATACCGGAAATCCAACTCCGCCCGCGTCTGCCCTACCCTAGGAGCCTCCTTCCCTAAAGTCCCATACGGGGCCAACGCTTCCAAAAGCCCCCGATACGCCCGCCGATGGTCCCTTGACCGTGATAGACATTCATCCTGCTTCCCAGCCTCAGAGACCTGCGTACTTACCTCATACACCTTATGATGCGAGCTCATCACAGCCCAGTTACTAAATGCCATCAAGACATACGCGCACGTCGGATTCGTCTGAACAGCAAGCGTAGCTGTCTCAACACACTCAAACATCACTCGGTCCAAGTACTCGCACAGATTCCCTCGTACTCCGCGCAGAACAACATTCTCGCGCTGCTTCCGTGCGGTATCGCTACGGAGGTCCACCAGGTCGTTGATAAGCGTGCAGGCGATACTCAACAACGTGTACTCTGCCTTGTTGACTTGCTGCTTCGTCCACACGGAGGCAGACGCCACGGCAAAGAACAGTCCTAGGTCGACGTACCGATGAGCCGTCAAGCTTGTCATCCGGCTTCCGTATACACCTGCCGGTAAACGGCCCCGTGCATGGTCGCGGTAGTATCCGAGGACACGGAAATGCAGCATTGAAGCCATCATGTTGTCGAATGCCCATTCAGAGAAGCGTCCCGAGAGCATGCAGAGCTTGAGGAATGAGAATGCCAGGCGATGCGCCAACTTCCTTCGATGCCTTCCGCTACTCGCGGCTGCGCGAGCAACCTGAGAATGACCAACGACACCTCTTCGTCATGACTGACTATAACAATCTGGCATTTGGCTACGGGAAGTTTGCACGTCCTGGCCGATTCTATGCCGCTAATGAAATGAAGATCATGTTGGCGCATATGCTCATCTGCTACGATATAAGGTTCCCTGATGGGTACGGTAGGCCTAGGAACTGCACTATTGACTCGGATATGTATCCTGATCCTGCAACGCGGTTGCTTATTAGGAAACGGTATGGGGTTGGGGAGGGTATGGAGGAGCCTTTAACATCTGTTGCATGGATGCCTGTTTGATTTTGTTCCTACTTGTGAGACTGGAGATATTGAAGGGCGGATTGACTGAAATGACTGAGTTTAACAGGGAATTTGGAGGCTGAGTCGTTGCTTCACATGTGAATCTATCTCTTCATTCAATGATGTACCATATACATAGCTACCTGAGTCGAAGTTCGTCGGTCGTACTCCATCTACTCACTGGCTGGCCCATTTGCAGTCAGGAACCCAAAATCAGCTCCCAGATGCGCCTGGTTGACCTCCCGCTCATAAAGCCCCCTGTATCCCCTTGTATGCTGTCTCTTCCTCCACGTCGACTCCTCTGACTCCGTGAGTGCTTGCTTTCGCTGTTCAATTCTTTCCTGAAGCTCTTCATCACTAATATCCAGCCGCAACAACCGAGACTCCACGTCACAGATAATCACGTCGCCCGTCTTAATAACACCGAATGGCGAGTCCGGTACTGCAGACTCGGGAGAAACATGCAATATAATCGTCCCTCCAGCCGTGCCAGACATTCTCCCATCCGATATTCTCAACATATCTGATACTCCCTGGGCTGCCAATTTGCGTGGAATAGGAATCATACCCGCCTCAGGCATTCCAGGATTTCCAATCGGTCCGATACCCCGCAGAACGAGCACAGAATCCGCAGTTACCTCAAGCTCAGGGTCATCCAGTCTTTTAGCCAATTCCTGGGGGTTCTCAAATACCACTGCGGGACCTTTATGCCGGAGGAGGCGTTTATCTTTCGAAGCGGATGCTTTGATGACGGCCCCGTTGGGGGCTATATTGCCCGCCACAACCACCAATGAAGAAGACGGGCAGAGCGGGTCGGAGAGTGTTCGGATAATCTTGCGCGAGTACTCGAAGTCCCGGAATGGTGTTCGGTTTAGTATATCTCCTAGCGTCTCGCCCGTAATAGTCATCGCGGTTTCACGAAGCAAAGGTCGTAAGCGATGCAGAAGACATAGCATTCCTCCGGCGTTATGGAAGTCGGTCATATAGTTGTCTCCGCTGGGCTTCAAGTCCACCAGGAGGGGTGTGGTTCGGCCGATTTCATCGAGTGTGTTGAGGTTCATTGTGCCGATGAGATCAGGGTGTCGGTTAATAATGGCCATCAGGTGAACCATGGCATTTGTGGAGCCACCAATGGCTTGGAGAACAACTGCGGCATTGTAGAATGAATCGGCCGACAGAATCTTTTGTGGTGTTCTTTTCTCTTTCGCAGCGGCGACTGCATTGGCACCTGTCTGTTCCGCTATACGCAATCTTGCAGCTGATACAGCGGGTGCCGAAGCGCCGTGCAAAGGGGTAAGCCCTAATGCGGCCGTGATACACGCCATTGTGCTTGCTGTGCCCATGACACCACACGTCCCGATCTATAAACGATTAGCTGTGACTTTTGTGGAGAAGGCAGGTTGAGCGAACCGTTGGCGCGAGTTCCTCATTAATGGAGGTAATCTCTTCGACATCTATAGCTCCCGCTCGAAACGAAGCCCAGTTGTTTCTGCAATCGGTACAGGCTCCAATTCGCTTCCCTCTATGACTCCCAGGCATCATTGGCCCAGTCAATAACGGCAGAACGGGCTTGTTTGCCGAGATTCCTCCCATGATCTGGGCTGGGGCGGTCTTATCGCAACCTGCACCTCTTAGCATCACTCGACTCATGGGGGGTAGATGAAATACCTCCAATCATAATACAAGCATCGACCGGCTGAGCACGGATCATTTCTTCCGTATCCATACTCATCAGATTGCGAAGGAACATACTTGTCGGATGCGAAAATCCCTCGTGCAGACTAATGGTCGGGAAGTCGATGGCAATACCACCGTTAAGATGGATGCCTCGCTTAGCGGCTTCGATCAACTGCGGAGTGTTGCCATGGCAGGGGTTGAAGCCAGAGCCGGTGTTAATTATGCCAATTATAGGACGGGAGAGCGCATCCTCTGAGTATCCGAGTGCTTTGATGAATACCTTCCGCAGGAACAGAGAAAAATGGGCATCTCCGTAGGATGTCAGTCCTTGTCGCAAACCTGTGGTGGAGGTGATTGGTTGCTGGAGGTTGTAATCCTGGTTCTCAGGCTCTGTTACCTCCATATTTCCGGTCATTATTTGTTAGAAAAGTCTTTGAAACAAGTTCGGGTAAGTGTATTCTCCCATTGGCGCTGTTCTGGTGTGGGATTTATAAGGATGATGATGATGGCATTCGGGAAAGGCATCATAGCCGAAGTCATCGGATCAGCTCCGTCGACTGCGGCAGCGATCCGATGCCCTGTGCCCACATCACGCCAGCTTTGTGGGGCACTGGATATCTACGGGTCGCTCTTCTTTAAGTTATCTGTAAATGTTAATCCGGGGTAATGGGGTGTGGGGTGATTCTGAGTTGACGGATACCATCCGCGGGCGGGGTTGTGCTTCTATATCAACGAGGGCAAGCTTATAAGAAGGACATAAGGGAGAGGATTATGTGCCGTTGTGCTCCCGGGATACTCGTGGCATAACTTGAGAGGGACTATCCGCTGGTGTATAGTATCACTCAGTCTTTTAGACGAAATAAATCGCCCAGTCACAACCACGATGTTCTGGAAGAGACCAAAATCAATCCAATACACCCAAAAATTCCTTGTCGTTGGCCTAGCCTTTATCCTCTATGACTATAACCAAGCCGGCCTCTCGGCCCTTCTTGAGGTTCCCGACGTGGTACACTACTTTCCTCTGACATGAACGGCACACACCAGATAGGATTATCCCTCGTCATGGCTACAAACAGGCCGACTCGTCGCGACTCAACGCCAACCCATTTGGCGATGGCCCATCCGATATAATCATCTCTAGCCTCCCACCAACTTCACCGTCAACCCCCTCACCATTGCTTCTTCCATCAAGAAACAACCTGAGCACCCGTCCCGTCGCATCATGCAGCCCCGTCATTCCCTGATCAGTGAAATACACCAGTCCCTTCGAATCAACCATCAGATCATTCGGGTCTTTCAGTCTCTCGCCGTGGTAGCGGGAGACAATAGTGCGGAGGTTTTTCGTGACGGGGTCGAGTTCCAGAAGGCCATTTTTGAAGTCAGCGATTAGGATTTTTTTTTTTTTTTTTTGTAATGTGGTGGTAGGCGAGTCCGCTGGGTTCGCCGTCGTATTGGATGAAGAGGGACCATTGCGTGGTGATGGGGTCGAGGGTGAAGATCCGTCCGTAGGGAATGTCGGTTAGAAAGAGGAGGTTTAGAGATTGGACATAGATGGGGCCTTCGGGGAAGGAGTCGAGGGGTTTGCCGCGCTTTTGGTTTATCGAGTGGGATGTGAGGTTTGAGGGAGGTGTTTGGCGGAGGCTTTTCGGGAGGGTGGACCAGGCTGGGGGCGTTGTTATGGTGGGTGTGGTGAGTTGGGGTGTGGATAGAGTCATGATAAAGTTATTCCAGTGGATGATATTGAAGATAGTGGTGTTTGAAGTGGTGTGGATTGGGAATGTTGATGTTGATGTTGTAGATATAGTATGACTAGTATGTTCATCGGTTAATGCAGGGAGCGGAGCGCATCCGTGTTCGGGACGGAGTCGATCCGCTGCTGCAAGTAGCACTATCTCTTATAATCTCTAGAACCTCGGTCTTTGTATCCATGAAAGATACCCACTTTAGCGCTTTTCTTATTCTACTTTCCTTGCTCCATTACATTCCCAGTTTATCTCAATTTTCAAAGGGTATGTTGCTCCCGTGTGGTAGAATAAGCACGCTGATGGAGGCATTTCGAAATCATCCGACCATATAACTTGGCAGTCAGAATTCAATAGTGGTTCTGCTGAGAGTAACAATCAACATTTCAGGAGTAACTTCTTTTGAATCATGATGACGTTGCTTGTATTTTCCGAGAGTATTCCCCCCCCCCCCCCCGGAAGAATAGATAGTAAAAGTAACTGCAGAGACACAGGCCAGGTCGAGCTCTCTATAGTCTCTCCGATCCCGAATGCACGGCCGACTTTTTGGACGCCGAAAGATTGAAAAGGGATCTCTTTGGGTATAACATTAATATCAGGAATACGACCCGTAGTTTCACTCAAGAAAGATCAAGGATATCGTTGTGAAAAAGGCATAAGGTTATCTGTGGTGCTGATCTAAGAATATGGCAATGCCATGGGCCCCAAACCCCGACATAAATGTGGAAAACCAACTGACTCAGTGGTTAGTAAATGTTGTTTTCTCAATAACACGTCCAGTCTAAGAGAGTCATTTGTAACTATGTTTGTGAGGGTTCGTTGTGTCACATGCGCTGGTGATGGAAGTTTACTGTGGTACATCACGGGACTTATGCCGAGGATATTTAGCAGCTATATAGTTCCTGAGATAGCAGTTGCCCGACGCGGGATGAGCAAGCTTTCCTGGACCAGTTGCATCCTTACATTCTATGAGATAATGCGATTACCGCGGCTAAGAGATATATGCTACACAACATCTTGTCCTACAAATGCAGAAATCTCATTGTATTCATTGGCTCTGTAACTCATCTAACCCGGTTTCTGTCCATACACGACCTGTCTGCGAAGTGTTAGAATCATGTCAGCAAGTACGGAGGAAGCTCACCGACATTTGCAAATATCCCTCAATCTTGCCCTTTAGTGCCCGACGCGCAGAAGCGCACATTAGCACAGATTCTGTGAAGTTCTTGCCAAGATGCTTCTCCAGTAGTGTGAAGCTGTAACCTTCCAGCCCCGCCGTCCAGTTTTGCATGATTCTTCCCTTCAGTTTGTCGCGGCCTTCAGTGCATAGAGGTATGTCATAAGTACGTTCAGTGACGTTGCTAAATCCATGCCGAGTGAGTTCCGCTCCGAAGTGAAGGGGGAGGTCTAACTGGCGTCCATCTCTGGCGTGTGCTGTTGTCATCTTCCGGACGTAATTATGAAATGGGCTATCTTCGTCAGGGTTGTCTAGTTGCACTCTCATATCACGTATCTCCACCCATGCGCCTGGAGCGCAGCAACTAATGTTATGAGTTAGTCTGGCAGTAAAGATCTCTTCTAAGAGAGCAATCACCTATATGAACCTTCCAGCAGGAGCGACAAAAGCTGGCGATCACCCTGAACCTGATTGATATGAACAAAGTCAATATTTTTGTATTGGGTATGCCAACCTGGTTGGCAGAGATTGTCAACCCAGAACTCGCAGTTCGGTGGTACCCTATATCATTAGTGAGATGAAGTTGAAAGCGCCAAGCCTCGCATTGAAGACATACCATTCATCTTGCATATTTACTAAATCAATGCCGCGAACCTAACTGGTCAGTTTCTCTTCTTCAATGCAAGCCATAGTCAGACTTACAGTCGAGGAAGGATATCTTTCTGCTGTTTGATATTTTAGTAATTGAATGGTTCTAGAACATTGGGAGGTACGGCTTGGACGTACCACATTCCATAGCCCAGCAGCCGGTGCCGGTGCGGATATCAAGAACATTTTGTGGACTCTCTATAGGGGCGAGGTATAATCTATCCTCAAAAAGCTCACGCAGCAAAACATGTTGTTCCTCTGCTCCATTTATTAGCTAAGGAAGCTACAGTGTCTCAGATACTCATACCCAGTCTGTCTTTCTCTATCTTCGACTTATTAGCTGCCACATTCCAATGCAGGTAAGGGGCTCACCTCATCAATCGGCCACGGATGCTGCTCCAAATGTGTCAATGAATAGCGCCGACCATGTCTGTACAGGTTCGGATGAGGTTCAGTGTCAAAGCTCTCTGTCTCTCTGTCTTTTGGTCAGTGGTTTTGCAAATAGTGATCAAGACATCAATACGTACTCCCGCTCCGATTCATGGTCTAGTGTGTCTGAGTCTGACATATTGTCTCCCATAGTTGTAAATGCCCACTTCCTAAGTGACTAAACACCAGAACGAAGAGAATCCCCCTTGTCCAATCTATGGGTCTAACAGTATTTTTAAACTTCAAGATAGAATCACATTATTTACTCTGCGCCTGTCACTTTGAAGGAAAAAGTTCAGGCACGAACCGCGGAAGCACATCCAACTTCCGATAAGGTTCGGTGTGTCTCGGGATTTGCATCGGTATTCGAACAACCTTACTCCGGATTATTCCAGCACCTGCAGGAAACAACTGCCTTATAGCAGTCATCCATTCATCCATTATACTATATGTCTTGTGGCGCGGCTAGCGAGGCAAGTGACTGAAGTCCCACAACGGAAGGAGCCGGGGCCTGAGCGGTTGCTATTTCAGTTCGACTGCATATTGTCGCTTCCTTTTCATACCTAGGGCATCTAATTGAGTGACACTATGTTAATGGAACTTCCACATTTACCCATCACGCTTACCCATCACGAGATGACGGAACCTTACATTCGACTGAACGCTTGGACTCTCTGTAGAGCACAGACTCTGTAGTACAGCTTGATTGGAAACCAGACCGAGTCTATTCAGGCACACCAATGCGCCCTGATCACTAAGATGCAGGGTACAGTATCATACAAAATAAGGACAAGGCCCGAGTTATCTCCAGTTCACCCGATGACCCATCGGGGATCACCCGCACAGCACATCGGGAACCATCGAACAAGCTTGTTTTGTGCTTCTAACGTGCAGACGCCACCTATCATTGGCGGAACGCGCAACCGGAAGGATCGATATGCAAGGTTAGCTCATCAGTGGGCCTTGGGCGCGATTCTATCCTTGAAAAGGAAAAAGGTAGCCGATAGATAAACTGTAGACAGTAGGGCGGTCGATCTTTTCTAGCCGAGGTCTGCAGGATTTGCAACGCCAGTTGAGGCTATATCATGCCGTTATATAACGCCTATAGCTGCCAAGCATAGGCCTAGATTCAGCCTTTTTTTTCACAGTGGACTTCTGTTCTAGATTTTTCTTCTTTTCTGTTGATGAACCTTAGTATGTTGGTATTGGGTGAGAATAACCTCTTATTCTCGTGATTGAAAAAAAGAAAAGTGAGATCATGCTTTAACGATCGCTGTGACTAACCAGTAGAGAGTATCTCCATAAGGGCAATGATATTGACACTATCTTTCGTCGGAAAAGCTATTGAGACATTTCAGGTCACTGGCTATGTAGAGAACACTATGCCCTAGTTTGCCTTTCACCCTGTCCCCTAAGAAAGCTAGTAGTGAGGCTGAGGTTCCGCTGGTTTGAGCCAACTCTGAGGCGGGATCTAGGCTTTCCCGGGCCTTGGAGGATAAGCCTCCCTTGATCTTTGATTTGAAGTAATCCACCTGGCATAGTCAACGAGTTCAGGCAAGTGGGTATGTTATAGTCGGCGTAAAGGTATATTAGGGCTGCGTAAGGACGGGTGAGCTGTGATGCAGGGTTCAGAAGAGCAGCATAGCCGAGCCAGGCGACCACCCGCATAAGCGCTGGGGCTAGTGAGGCTGTGGCTCAACTAACTACACGAAACTTGACGAAAAGTAACTTGAAGCTAATCAGCCTGTTTCTTAGTATGACAGTTATTGGGATTACGGTTACAGCTCGTATATGAATTCTACTCGCACGGGGCATCCCATTACAATTGTATTTCCAGTTATAGCCTCAACTTATAGTGTGGATAAAGTATGAATGTATAGTCATCTTCGATGATGTCTCCAGATTCAAGCTGGACAGGATAAACGTCGATCATCACCACAATGCTCCGCTATATCACTAACTTCTCATTGCCAAGGAGCCGCAGTCCCGCTTGCTATAGACCAGGATTGCCAGTTTCACTATGTCGAGGTCAGTATCCTATCCCGATTGTAATATTCAACGGACGTATTTCTGTCTGATTGACACGGTGCACGCGTCCAATCACCTGGATTGTCTGGGAGACATTCAGGGTGGGTTCCATTATTACCACCTTCGAACATTGATGGTGTAGGTTAAGGCCCAAGGACCCGCAGGCGACGCTTGTTATTAGGACGGCGCAGGTGGACTCAGCTGAGGTGAAAGATCGGGCAGCATTTGTTCGCTGGTCCACACTCATGCCTGCCTGGATAGTAACGTACGGAATGCCGAGGCAGGCCACAAACATTTCCGTCATCCAGAACGGAATGGGCCAGTTTAGGAAGATAAGGAACCGTTGCAACCGTTCCTGCGGAGGGGCCGGTCCATCACCGATCATAAACAGGGGACAAAATCTCTGGACACTGGTGTATTGCATCGCGGATGCTTTGATTGTTGTGTTTTTTATGCTGGAAACTAACACGTCATATCCTGCTTCGCCTGTGAATAAGTTCTGATCGAGCAGATGTCAAGAAATCCCCATAGTCAGTCATTACTCGCAGGCTGCCTTCGTGGAACCAGCCCAAGTCTTCTCCCTTTAGATCCAGGATGTATGAGTTATGAGAAAGGCACAATATACGTGGGCGTGATCTCCCAATATTTTCAGACAGATAATCATTCCCTCGCTGTGGATATTCCCAAATTCACGCAGACGAAGGGATGGCAATGGCATGTGCAACATAACGGTAATTTGGCCTCAACCCGCAGACTTCTCGTCGATATAGCGACCTTCCTCTTGCTTTTCACAAGATTGGTAGATTTGTTCTATGTTGAACACAGCCTGACATATCAGGCGAGATTGTCGCTGTCAGTGACTGTGTCAAAGCCACCCGGTTCTCCTTCGGAGTTTGTTAACGCGGTTTACTTTCCGCTAGACGATTGTAGGTTCTTTGGGTGTGTCGGGCCTCAAAGAATGGTTGTAATGATAACACCAAGTTTCGCTCTGCATGATTTTCAGTACCGGGCACAAGGACGAGTCTGACGAACGTGGACAGCCCTCGCGACGACAGTCGCAAGGGATAGGGTTTCCACTATAATATAAGTGCGCGCATACGTGCAAAGTAGTCGGCTTACCCTCTCGCAGAGGTGGCGCTGCTTCGAGCACCAGAAATATTCCCACATAGCATTGGTGTTGCATATTAGAGTTTCACGACCCCACAATATGCGGCATAAACCTGACAGGAGCAATCTGGTGATGGTGGTGGGTAGCGCCGCTGACGCTAGATAGGCGAGGCATCGATACTGACGATGTTGCTAAACCCTTCTCGCCTCAGATAGATGGTTTCGAATTCGCAATCTCTGTAGATATCTCATCTTGTAATGGACTGTCAACCTTGGCTAACTCTTGGCATCCTGATCTTTAAATTGAATTCCATCTCTCCCACTATCCTGCTTCTTCTTAAGCAGAGGTGAAGTGGACCTCGCCAATCCTTTAATTTCGTCAATGCGCAGCCAACAATGGGCAGAAGAACGGACGCTATCTCAAACTCTTTGTCTGTAAATTAAAGTCTGAGAGCTCCTCAAACCCAATCTTAGCTATCGTAGTTGTCCATGAGTGTTTTGGCTTCGGTGTGGAAATGTTGATATCTTCCTCTTTGAAGAAGTGCAAAGCTTCGGCCGATGGGTTTCCAACACTCCGCACTGGGGTGACGGCACCTATGAAATCTCCCGCCGATATCAGAACAGGGTAACTGTTAGCTCAGCATACTTCTAAGCAATGACACTATTCATACACATGGTCAGCAGTCTTTGGAAGTTCCCATTGGGACGCAACAATGCATTTCGCAATGGAATGCTTCGGCAAATCCCTCCAAGATCACTTACATCAGATAGCCACATTGCCAAACCAAGAGGGTGTACTGATGGCCTGTCTCGCCCAAAATCTGCCTCGCCCAAAATCTGTCGGAATGGCTTGGGAAATGCTCGCCCTTTCTTCCTCATCTGCCTCAATGCCTTGCAGCGCATATCCATGCGCAACGGAACATTTCTGGTCGTGGCGGTGATGTCGGCAAAATGCCTGGTTCTCGTCTGCACTTATGGCCTGCACCTCATGATAATCATGTGCGCGGCTCGGTGCAGTGTCATCCCTTGGCCGGAGGTCTTTATTGTACTGATGAATACGCCCGGAGCACCCATATCGACGTCCAGTTTCCATGGTCTCGGTGGTTCTATGATGCCCATAATAATGTTTGAGCTTTCTGATTAGTGTAAATTATGTCCAACCGATTAGCCATTAACGATATTTGCAGCGGCGATAGTAGACTGTATGTTTGCTGTGAATACCTGAGGACTTTGAATATTTTTGCTTTCCGTATATCATGCTCTTCCTTGAACATTTTATTTCGCTGATGAATCGCGTATGAGTCGCATTTTGAGTAACCGACTCAATCGTCCACTGCTCGGAGTATCAAGGTATCCTAGACCATATCCTACTCGGGCCAGGCTCGCTATTTCGTTGCTGTATCTCCTTCATAATGAAGAAGCACATTTCTGTCTTCGAGCTATAGACTTCGTTCTTCCTCGTATCATTGAACGCCTCGGAGTACCAATCGAGAATCGAGGCGATTTCGGCGGCGGCTCCAAGAATCCCCGCGGACACCTAGTCGGTTAGCGATATGTCTATCAGAATGGGTAGTTCCATCCCGATTCATGGGTGTTTTTGCGTTCAGGAAGCTGGCGACACATGATTTTCCGGACTATGTGCAGGAGGTGGTTCAGTCTGGTCTCTCATTTGTTTGCTCCTTGCGCAACATTAAACCCCTGTCATAACAAGAGACGCTCGCTGGTTTCGGGAAATATGAGCTTCACATTGTCAGAGACTGTGTGTGTATATACTGCCTGTCACAGAATTGCTGCATTAGAGAACAGTACGAAAAGCGTAAATACCTTGGCTTCGGCGATAGGTGCTCTCTTCCCATGACAATACTTCTGTCATGTGAATAAAGACCATATTCAACGCAGTGGTTGATATATGATTTGTGGATTCAATGCATGCTAGGCCTTCTATACACGAATCATCCCCGTAAGGGGGGATCAAATCGAGTCGAGATGCTTATTGCTGCTGATGGACTAACCACTGATTTCCAGCAAATCCGGACAGCAACCGTAGTTCTTTATTTATAAGTTCGTTGTCCCACTTAATTCTCTCACCCATACTGCATATAGGACGAAGAAACTATATCTTGGTCCATTCATATTAGAGACTAGAAAACAATCCAACTTTTCAAGGAGCTCGCCATCAAATTTGTGCAAGATTTGGCTTCTCGCACACTTGGCATAACACGGATCACCAGTAAACCACGGCATAAGCTCCAAAATTATAACGCAGTTTAAACACAGCGATCTATTCCGGAGATCTTCTGCCGATCCCGCAGTGATGGGATGTCTTGATCGAGTGTAGCTAGAAAGATAGCGGCAGTGGAAGTACGTCCATTTTTGTATTTCTTGCAGTAACTGTATACCAAGCCAATGTTAGCTTGATTCTCTACAGCTGCAAGCCATAACAATAAACAGATTTGAAATGGTGTTGGAACATACCATTCTGGTGGTTCCAAAAGCACATGTGCCTACCCATTCGCCCCCGAGCCATGTCTTGAAAAGAAAGCCAAGGACAGTCACACCACATTCAGTGTAGCTGAGTAGCCCATTATTTAGTCACTATAAACCAGGCTGTCAATCTTACAATAAGATAATTCGGCCGTTTTCTGCATTGTTATCGCTACCGACTTGGATTTCCACCGTGTAAGAGCAACCAGAGTGCGCATTTCGCCAGCGCCGGCAGGTGAAAAGTAAAAAAAATCATCTCTTCAAGGTTCAATGGTGATCATAACTCAGCTCTGGCTGGTTGAGAGCCAGCTGTCTGCAGGGGTCTGCTCGGTTGCTTCAGAGAGTGCGGAAAGTAGGATAGTTGTCTGGCGTATCTTCCGTCAATTGTATGTTTGCATGGAGTATGGTGGACCATTGTAGATCGGTTGTGTTCTTTGTATACTATTCAAGGCAGTAAGGTAAACAATGTTAGAATAATGTGTTTAGTTAGATTCAGGTTTCAGATGGATGTGGACCACTCTCTGGAAAAAGATGCTACAAGTGGCAGTGGATCTATTTAATTGGATAAATGTGTGAGAACATTCGGTCCAATATATGTGGACGTTTAAATAAATACTCTATGGAATGGATCATCTGAGACTGTTGAGGAGATTTGCTCTGGTTTTATAGTAAAATCATGGCATAGATCATGCTTAGTATCAATGAATGGTTAGTACATCTTAGGTCTGAAGGTATAGGACTTTCCACCAGAGATGGTTGTATGTAGTGAGAAGGCAGAGAGGAGAGGAAATGCGGGACTTTTTATATATGAGAAAGAGTCGATGGTAATTCAGTTGGTTTTTCAACATCTATTCATTCGAAGACTAATTCATCGATGCGTTGTCTGGTTGATCATTGATGCTAGTCATGCAATGTATTCCATAGGATAGACATTCAATATATAGCGAATGAAGGGTTACACTTCACTATAACCGGACCTGCTGTCCTTAGGGCTAGATCCGGCGTGCACTCTAATAGAAAAAAAAAGGCTAGGGAGTTCCCAACTAATGAAGTATCGATTATTGAATCAGCTAGACATTAGTAAAATGCATTGTATCTTCCATCAGCAGTACTTTTTATCGACAAACTAAATAAGACGAGTCATGCAGTTGGTATCCGGCATCACATAATAAAATAACCAAGAAATGAAGAGATCATGACAATAATATACACGTCGAAGAAGAAAATATTCATCCTGCTCCCACTAGTATGACTATGGCAGGCTGCCCTATGCGCTGGGCTCAGTCTTGGAGGGGTAGAACCAGGCGGCCACGGCTATGATGAGGTACATCATCATTAACAATACGCCCTCCAGCCAGTGCGACTTTCCGTCGGCAATGAGGTAGTTGACCTGCGAGGGTTAGTCGATGCCGACATGTAGCGGAGGGTGAGAGACATACCAAAAGTACAGCCACAAAAAGGAGAATAACCTGGAAGGCATCGAAATACAGAGTCATGTCGTCGTTACCTGCTTCTGTCAGTATCACATCATATCCGTTTAATCAGTCAAACTTACCCATGCCCCATCCAATCACGATGATCAACGGAAGCACCAATAACGCGATCTGCATGCTGGATCCTACCGCCACACCAATGGCCAGATCCATCTTATCCTTGCATGCCACAGTCACGGCGGTGGCGTGCTCGGCCGCATTACCCACAATAGGCAGAAGGATCAATCCGACAAAGGTCTCAGAGATGTGTCCTTGGGTGGTGAGGGCGTCGATCGAGTCAACCTGAACAATTAGCTACGTGCTAAAAAAGAGAGAAAAGGGTGGCTTACCATAAATTCAGCGCACAGAGCAACAAAAACAGTGGAGATAACGAGGGTCAGGACAGCGACGAGAACGCTCAGCTGAGGCTCTTCCTCTTCATCATCGTCCGGTTCCTGCAATTTCACGTTCTGCGCATGCTCACCCGCCATGGAGGCGGACATCTTGCCGATCTGCGCGATACCACGACTGGCATCACCTTCGTTGATTTTTTGCCGTCTCTTCTCTACCTTGGGGCTGGGGGCGTTGTAGATCTCTGTGTGCGACTTGAGCTGGAAGAACAGATAACATCCGTAAACGACTAGCAGGATAACACTGGTGCCTGGAAAATGTAAGCTTACATACGACCGCTTTTGGAAAGATACATACCTCGTGACAAGGGTGCGACGCCCGTATCGCCAGCTGGAAACTGTTAGCTGCGTCAGAGGAACGATTCTTTGAAACTCACCATCGGACCAAGCGTGGAACGCCGTGGGAATGATCAAACTTCCCACAGCCAACGCTAGCAAACTAGCGGCGATCTGAGCAACTACGGGGTTGAAGTGCTGCTCCAGGCGGTCGATACCACCAAAGAAGAAGCACATGCCCATGACCAGAAGCAGATTCGAGAGCATACTTCCGATCAGAGATGTTTGGACGATGGTGACTTCATTGTCAACCAGAGCGATAATGGCAACAATAAGTTCGACCGCGTTACTGCATCAGGTTAGATCAGAATAATGTAGATGGGGAATAGAACTTACCCAAATGACGCATTGAGCAGACCTCCAATTGTCTCACCCGTGCTGTGTCTTCATTAGAATGATCCAGTCAGAACTTTGGATCAACATACCGCATGGCAATCTCCTCTGTCGCGTAACTCAACATGGCTGCAAGGGGACTGTTCATGTTAGCTGAGAAGTCACACAGGAGAGCGAAGACTTACATGATCGCAATAAAATTAACCACAAAGACAGCCACTGGGCTAACACCATTGACATAATTCAACGCAACTATCAGAGTCAGTACTGCAGCTTAAAACTCTGGTGAGGTACTTACTTCCAACAGGCGCGGCCAGAAGCAAAACATTAATCCAAGAATTGAAGATCGTAGCCTTCAGTTGTCCCATGACGGTGAAGTTGTGCTTCTTCTTCATCGGCTTGCCCGAATCAGTAGTCAACTGATCATCTTCGGGCTTGAAGGTGTTGCTCAAGAAGGTCCTTCTCTTTCGCGGACCCTGCAGGTCTTCGGGCTCGTCCTGACGCGGAACATTGATTGGAACTTGACTATGCATGGAAGGGTCGGTGCCGACTTTGTCATTGCTGTCGCGTCCAACCAGATCAGTGCCAGCAGACTGAGGAGGGAAGCTGTCTGCGTGCTCAGGGCCGACCAGGCCATCGGTCATGTCTCTCCGTCGGCGGCGCTCCTCGGACAGGCGTACTCCGCCCTCGGACAAGACGGGGGTGAGTCGGTTTTCCAGCTGGATAGAGTTGGTGCGTCGGGGCTGTCTGCGAAACTTCTTGAACGGGTTAACTGAGGACGGTTCGCCCTCCTGGTCATACCAGGCCAGTTTCCTGGCATGTCGTTTGTAGATATCTAATGCCAAGATGCATGTTAGCGATGGTCGCGGGCGGAAAAGGGGAAGAGATAATACATACGCATGTTAATAGACGTGAACTAGTTATCGATGGATAATGGAGCAAGAACAGTGCAGGGATCTTTGGGGTCTATGTACTAAATAATAATTAGGCACCATGTCAGCGATGATATATGAGAGACAAAATTAGAAGGGCGATCGACGGAGCCGCGTTGTTGAGAGGCGATGAACGCACATGGCGTCCCAACAGCGCGGTACCAGCAGTCATTCATGCTGGGGTCCAATAGGCAAGACAAAGAGAAGCAATAGACTCACTGACGTGGAGTAGCTAAGTGATAGACTAGACAGCAAAAAGAGCCCTTGTTGGAGGCTCAAGTGTGGCTGAAGTGGATTCGTGAAGACTCCGCCTCGAGTGGCTGTCAAAACTACTACAGTCGAGCTGGAGGGGATTCAGTTTGGTTTGCGACAAACTAACTGCGCCGTCGGAGATATTCCAAACTGGGTCCGATGTTGATGCGATAATTATAGGAAGAAAAATTAAAGAGCAAAAAGGAGGGACGTCGCGCGCAGAAGCAGCCAGCGATGTAATATATAGAGAAAAAAAAGCCTAATATTGCGGGAATGCAGCAAGACGGGGACTGTGCAATGACAACGGTAACGAGCGACAACAGAGTCCAACACAGGACTGGATGGAAAGAATGACACTTCACAAACTGCAAGGGCAAGTGCCGACAGAGACACAGAAACCTCACACACAACGTTTGAAAGGAGAGAACTGCACAGGAGAGTTCCAAGTTAATTGTCGTCACAACTCATTATTTGGTTAAAGTTGCTGCTCTGAGCTCAGCCACACAACTACCGCTAGTCTACGCACAGGCAGGCCTCTCATTTGCTGGATCCTCCCGATTTATATGATAACCCCCAATTGACCCATCGGCAAAGAGGCATCCCGCAAGCTCAGTGGCTACCCAGCTGGCGAGTGGATGGAGCTTTGGTGCTTCCAGCCCCTGGCGCTTCTAGAGAAGGCAATTGACAATCGGAGAACCCCCAACAAGCAACCCGCCAAGCCTAAGATTGCCTCCGAACTAACGAAATTTGGCTTCGCTTTTGCGAGCGGAGTGCGAAATTCATCATGATGATGTCTTGGGTTCTTGGCTGATCCAGGGGCACAAAGAGCACAAAGGGCCCGACAGGAGAAATTTCACCCTCATCGGGCCTCTATTAAGTTGCAAGCATGCTGTCTGTCTGTCAGGTAGGACAGGTAGAAGATCTATGGAAATTGGGCAGCAGTATGGCCATCGCTAAACGCTGTTGCAAAGTCTCTTTGAGGGTGAACCGCGACAGAATGGCCCCATTTGCCAGAGGATCTGGTGGTTGTCGTAATCAAAGTTAAAACTTTGGCGAAGCAATTGCAGCCCCCTGGCTTGTTTCGCGCCCGCCCCATGTGGTGGTCGCTGATTGGTGACACTCCTTACTCAGATATTAGATAAGCGGGGGAGTGCCTGACCGCCACATCTGTGGCTGTTGGTGACTGAGCCACATGTATCAGCCACAGCATATCCAGCACACTGCCACACGCACCGCCACAAGTAGTCAGTCCCGGCTGCTCCCACATGGCTCATAGTCACTGTGAGGTCAGTCAGTCTCATTGAAGTTTGAACATGGCTATCTCCGTCAGTGTGATCCATCTGCCGCCGTTCAGATCAGGAACCACCGTTACCCTGGGGATAGAGAAATGCACATGTTGTACTACCCAGCTGACATTCTGCCCAAGCGTTGTCGATCGGGAAATGTAACTCCGACCACTATAGACAAACAACGAACTGAAGTGCCGGAAAAGTGCGCACCAGGTGCTACAAAGACATGTCATGCAGAGTGGTGGCCCTCACCGGTGCAAGGTGAGGACTGCGACAGATGAATCGGCCGCAGTTGGTAGCCATCTCCCAGTGTGTGGAGTCACACAACACAGCGATCGTGGCGCCTACAAGCTCCAGCAGAGCAAGCCGATGACGTCCAACGGTGAACGGCAGGCTGGATCGGTGAGGCCGCCCTCCAGCCTCATACCAGGTGTGGGGTGATCCCCCTTGCTTTAAAGGGGGGGGTTGGAGGGGAGAATGAGGTCATGGCAAGATGATGGATGAATGATGAGGGATGACAACACCGACAGAGACACGGTCAGTATGGTAGGACGAAGAGAGACACCATCACAGTAATAAGGAGAAGGCAAAAAGAGAGAGGCAAAAGAATCAGGCAGTGGACGGGCTGTTATTGGGTTGACGAGGAAGCCGCTCGATGATCTTTCAAAGCTTGGTATCCCGTGAAGCTTGGTATCCCGTGAAGCTTGGTATCCCGTGTTTTTGTTTCGGCAGCCGATCACAGCTGATGCTTCCGGATAGGGGACGGGCTGGCTTCGTTTCTTTGTAGTACAAATTTCTTTGACTCCTAAGTGCAGCGGCATTTCCAGTGCAACAGACCCCACGAAAGGGTGCCTCGAGGAGAGGGAGATCATAGTACCGTATAAGCGAGTCAGACTCCTGCTCCACCAGAGGCAGAGCTATTGAAGACTGTTTGAGAATGACGGAGGTTTATTTAAGCCGAACAGCGACCATTTCTCCTAATTTACGTCAAACACTATAGATAGACACGGCTAATCCGGAAGAATGATTAGAAGCCGTGGGAAGCAAACGTGGATACATCGTACACCAATGCAGATGAAGCGATGTCAGACAAGCAATGATGAAGCTCCATCGGGGTGGGTAAAAGGAAGAAGAAAACCACTGCAATCAAAACAAAAAGTAATAATAATAAATAAATAAAAGAAACTTCTGGTGAGACGATCAGTTGCCATCCATGTTTCATTCTCCTGGACATGAATTGTGGATCCCAGAGTTGGGATTTGTTACCTTAAAACTTACCTAGCCTTACATTAGTTTACGGCCCCTCGGGGGTGGTCAGGGCCGCCAGACCCTTAGACCCTGCCAGGGTCCGAGGGTCTTTCCCCTTCCCCATTACCGTCTGATACACGGTATGGTCAGATTACCACCACAAACCCAACCATTTCAATGCGCTCTTGGCATTCTTGGCAGAGGCCCGCTCGGTCCGGCAGACTCCTCTTTTTGGCAATGCCAGCGCTGCTTATAGGAGAGGTTTCAGTGGAAGGTGTCAGAAGTCATGGAAATAGTACCAGAGTGTCTGACTTTGTGCACTAGATGTGTCTCAATGTTTGAAAGTGTGTATTTAAAACCAACCAACAATTATATTTCGAGTCTCGAGCAGACTTTCATCTTCCCGTTTCCCATCTTTGGCCCTGAGGATGTGCAATGAGTGAGCCGTCCAGGAGAGAATCCCAATAAACAGACGCCCCACAGCACGGAGAGGGAGGAAGGGCCTGAGAGGTCAATTCCCCAGCGACAGGGACGGAAATGGCGAGAGGATGAGCCCGGGAGTTGCCCAATTGGACCGGGTCAGGAACAAGGAACCAGGCTCGGCATGAGTCTGGACCCGTCAGAACACTGTATTACCGCCCGTATCAAAATCCCCGCCAGGGTCCTGAGCCAATCATCCCACAGGGTCCTGGGGCTAGTTTCACCCTTTCAGCCCACTCGCTTTCTTTCTCTGCTCTGTTTCGCTCGTTTACCCATGGTCCTTTCCAGCCAGTTCTGGTTTTTTTCAAAGTGGAATTGAATTTACTCCAACGCCCACTCGAATGCTTGACGGGAAGAAGAGATTCACAAGAAAAAGGCTTGTCTATGGAAATGAGAGACGATCCATGACACTGCCACATGGAAGAGTAAGATGGTAGCATTGAAACTAGTAACTATGGAAGTGAGAAGGATAGCAGGATAGCCCCATGGACCGGACAATGGATTGTCCACCCTGGAGATCAACATCGACCGGAACTCCAATCACAGCGGAATTTACTATTTTTACAGCGGAGGGCGTCGTAAGCCTGAACATCCGACAGGCACACAGCCAACAACGATGGATACTGAGAGTACTGACTGTTTGTTAGTGAGTGAGGCAGGGGCCGGGGCCACTCGCTTCCCCCGTCATTCGCCTCCTCCCCCCCCTTCTGGTACTGGTTATTTCCAAATACCCCCTCCCTCCTCTTCCTTCTCTTCTCTTCTTCTTCTTCCTTCTTCTCTCCATCTTCTTTCTTTCTTTCTCTCCTTCCCAGCCACTTCATCATCCATCCAGCCATCGCTATATCCACGGCGCCTTGTTTCAGCCGTCAGTCACTCGTTGTATACTTCTAGACTTTCTTCCTCTTCCTCCCTTGTATTTCAACTCTCCTGTGGAAAGTTGATAACTCGGGAACTGCAGTACTTTCATCTGCAGATTTAGAAACCAGCTACATTGAATTCGGACTCTCGCTTCACACATCACTGTTCACATAATGAAGTTCTCTGCTACTACCCTTGCTGGAGCTTCGCTCCTCCTGGGCCGCGCTATTGCTGCGGACCTGCCTGCCATTGAGGCCAAGGTATGTTTCCGCCATCCGCCGTAGGGCTGGAGGTCAAGTTACTAACTGGTTTGGTTGGCTATAGAGCAACAAGTTCTTCTACTCCAACAATGGCACCCAATTGTGAGTTATCCTACTGCATGGTCTGGTTTTAACTTTCTTACTGACCCTTTCTAGCTTCATCCGTGGCGTTGCCTATCAGCGTATGTAGCTCAATTGTCAATGGCGCCTCGACGCGCAGCTAACCCGTCACCAGAGGACTACACGAGCAACGGCACCGACTCCTCTAACTCGGACTACACCGACCCTCTGGCTGATGCCTCCACCTGCAAGCGTGATATCCCCTACCTCCAGCAGCTGCGCACCAACGTGATCCGTACCTATGCTGTCGACCCCACCAAGGACCACACCGAGTGCATGCAGGCCCTGCAGGATGCTGGCATCTACCTCATCACTGACCTGTCTGCCCCCTCGACCTCCATCAACCGGGACGACCCCCAGTGGAACACCGACCTCTACTCTCGCTACACCAGCGTCGTCGATGCCTTTGCCAACTACACCAACGTCATCGGTTTCTTCGCCGGTAACGAGGTCGCCAACAGCCAGAACAACACCAACGCTATTGCCTACGTCAAGGCCGCCGTCCGTGACATGAAGGCCTACATCAAGGCCAAGAACTACCGTACCTCCCTCGGTGTTGGTTATGCTACTGATGATGACTCCACCATCCGTGACGACCTGAAGAGCTACCTGGTCTGCGGTGACTCTGACGACCGCATCGACTTCTTCGGTTACAACATCTACGAGTGGTGCGGTGACTCTTCCTTCAAGACCTCCGGTTACCAGGCCCGTACCGAGGAGTTCAAGGACTACCCTGTCCCTGCTTTCTTCTCCGAGTATGGCTGCAACAGCCCCTCTCCCCGTACCTTCACCGATGTCCCCGTCCTCTTCGGTGACCAGATGAACGACGTCTGGAGCGGTGGTATTGTCTACATGTACTTCCAGGAGGCCAACGACTACGGTCTGGTTTCGGTCGACGGCTCCAGCGTCAGCACTCTCAAGGACTTCTCCAACCTGTCTTCCCAGATGCAGAAGGTCACTGCTACCGGTGTGAACAGCAACAGCTGGTCCGCCAGCAACACTGCCACCCCTACCTGCCCCAGCGTCGGCACCGCCTGGGAGGCCACCAACACTCTCCCCCCCTCCCCCAACGAGGATCTCTGCTCCTGCATGGAGGCTTCTCTGTCTTGCGTCGTCAAGGACTCTGTCAAGGAGAGCAAGTACGGTGACCTGTTCGACTACATCTGCGCCAAGGGTGACTACTGCGACGGCATGTCCAGCAACTCCACCACCGGTGACTACGGTGCCTACAGTGTCTGCTCCACCAAGCAGCAGCTCAGCTTCGTCATGAACCAGTACTACGAGAAGCAGAGTGCCAAGGCCAGCGCTTGCGACTTCAGCGGTGATGGTACCACCACCTCTTCCAGCGCCGCCACTGGCACCTGCTCTTCCCTGCTCAAGGAGGCTGGCACCGCCGGTACCGGCAGCGTTACCTCCTCCCCCACTGGCGGCGGCTCTGTTGCCAGCGCCAGCTCCAGCACCTCCGAGGGTGCTGGTGCCGGTCTGACTGCCCCCAACGCTGTCCAGGTCGGTAGCTGGCAGCTGGGTGCCTACGCGGTGACCGCCGTTGGCGCCGCTCTTGGCATGATCCTGCTGTAAGCGTGAAGCGGAGGTGTGGGGGCCATGGAAGCATGGCCCGTTAGACTGGTGGATTTGTTAGCCGTACATAATTGAATCCGTTCTACTTTGTGATTATTCCAAGTAGCATTTAATGCACATATTTTATATCACTACTTTTCCGATACTCTTTTAACTGTAACAGTTAATCACTATAACACTATAGATCGGTATGATGTGTATGGCTGTATGATAAAGTTCTTACCTGTAATATGCAGCTGCAGACACGCGATCCAACTCCGAAAGTGCGTGTCAACGGGCGTCGGCAGCGGATGCCGACTCGGTCAGATGCTCCGAGCAGACCGAGCCAGCAGTTCGGCCACACAATCGGCAGGCCGAATCAGGCAGAGTCTGCACGAGATATATAAGATAAGAAGTATCGCAGATAGCAGAGTAGATAGTACCCAAAGATTCTTAACCCAATTCCATTATAATACTTCATAGAAGGGACCCCATGCCGGCCATGGCTCCCGATCTGGAATCCAACCCAACTCTACCAAAAGAGGCAAATACACAATCACCGCCAGCCATTGACCACAATGACACTCCCAAATCACAACAACCATCGATCAACGAAAAGCCCACAGTAACAAGAGGTTATGACCTCCCCTTCTGGCACAAATCCATCATCCTCTTCATTGTCTCATGGATGACCCTGGCGGTGACCTTCAACAGCACCTCGCTGCTCCCCGCCACCCCCGAAATCGCAACCCGGTTCAACACCACCGAGGAAATCCTCAATGTCATCAATGCCGGTGTATTATTGGCCATGGGCTTTTCTTCCCTGATTTGGGGTCCCATGAGTCGCTTAGTCGGTCGTCGCATCTCATATAACATCGCCGTTTTGGTGCTGTGCGGGTGCTCGGCGGGTACGGCCGCCGCTATCAATTTGCCCATGTTTACGGCGTTTCGCATTTTGGGTGGATTGACGGGTACCTCGTTTATGGTTATGGGGCAGACCATTTTGGCGGATATTTATGAGCCTGTATATCCCTCCTCCCCGCTGTATTGGTATGTGGTCTGGAAGATGAGTTAATATTGTCTGTATGTATAGGTTGTTAGAGGAACGGCAGTGGGTTTCTTCATGGTAGGGACTGTTGCGGGTCCGGCTATTGGTATACCTACCTCTCCCTACTTATACCCTATAACTTCAATAGTATATAGGGCAATGTGAGCTAATGAAGTAATCGCAGGCCCCTGCTTCGGCGGCATCATCGTCACCTTCGCCAGCTGGCGCATTATCTTCTGGGTGCAAGTCGCCATGACAGGCTTCGGCCTGATCCTCTCACTGATCTTCGTGCCTGAGATACCCTCAGCAGATGCAAAGATCATCACCACTACCACTGCCACCAGCAGCACCACTCCTCCAACAATGAAAGAAACCACTCTTCGCATCCTCGCCGCATTCAACCCCATCCACATCGTCCGTCTCTTCATCTACCCCAACATCTTCCTCGCCGTACATATACCCCCTCCCCTAACCCTCCCCTTATCCTATCCAACATACTAATACCTGAAAGGACCTAACATGCGGTTTCCTCTCCACCTTCCAATACGCCATCCTCACCTCCGCCCGCTCCATCTTCAACCCTCGCTTCCACCTCACCACTGCCCTCGTCTCCGGCCTCTTCTATCTCGCCCCGGGGGCCGGGTTCCTCGTGGGAAGTATCCTCGGCGGACGTCTCTCAGACCGCACGGTCCGAAACTACATCAAAAAGCGTAACGGAACCCGTCTCCCCCAGGATCGACTTAACTCCGGCCTGGGAACATTATTCTTCGTCCTCCCCGCCGCGGCTCTCGTCTATGGGTGGACCCTGCAGGAGGAGAAAGGCGGCATGGTGGTCCCCATCATTGCGGCGTTTTTTGGTGGCGTGGGGCTTATGGGGACGTTTAATGGGTTGAATACGTATGCTGCTGGTATGTCTTTATTTTATCCCCTTCCTAGGATGTATTCATGTGTGTATGGATGCTAATGTGTGTGGGGTTGGGTTTGGATCATAGAAGCACTCCCCCATCGCCGATCCGAAGCCATCAGTGGGAAATACATCATCCAGTATTTATTTTCGGCGGGGAGTAGTGCCGCTGTTGAGCCGTTGATTGGGGCGATTGGGGTGGGGTGGACGTTTACCATTTGTGAGTGATCTTTTTCTTTTTTCTCCATTTATCCTTCAGTCCGGGATTGATGGTGTGTGTGTGTGTGTGCGGTGATGGTTGGCTAATTGTTGGCGTGTGGTGTAGGTGTGTTTTTGTCTATCATTGGGGGCGTTTTGGTGGTGGTTATTACCCGTAAGGGGTTGGATATGCAGAGGTGGGTGGAGAGGAGGTGGGGGGAGGCTTAATCTCTCTCTCTCTCTTTCGGTTGTTGAGGGGTTGCTCAGGTTATGAGTTGATGTCTTTATGGGTATGCTTTGCATTGGGTATGGTGTATGGTTCATGATAGATAGATAGATAGATAGACGTGATACACAGATAGACACATAATGTAGTTGCATGTCTCTGATTCATAGTAACTCTGGCTGCTATTTAGCTATACCCCTGATACACATGCTCCTCATTCATATACGTATCTACCGGATGCAACATGCCCAGATCAAAATCACTCTGCGCCAAAAAGTCCTGCATCGTCGGCTCCATAAACGCCATCGCCGTCGTGAACCCGCTCGTCGCATCTCGTACTACACCCCCCTCTAGCACCCCCGTCGTCATTGGGTGTAGTCCGAACTCGGCTGGTCCCATCGGCCCCTCGGCTATACTATGCGCTGTCAGCGTCGTGTTCGATGACGCTGGAGTCGCTGCTGCTGTTGCGGCTGCGGACGCGGCCGCGTCTTTGGCGGATACCGTCCCCGGCCCTATCGCTGCAGCGGCGTTCCGTCGACTGCGGGAATCGCGTCGTCGCTCGCTCAGATATCGGTCCAGGCAAACTTTGACCTGTTCCAGGTTGATGTAGAATTCCGATGCCGCTAGGTTGCCGTTCTCGCTCATTGAGCGCAGGACTTCCATGCCGGTTTCGAAGGCCCCGAGGTCTGCTGGGTTGCCGACGGGGGTGAAGCTGGACATGGCCAGCACGAGTGCAGAGGAGAAGAGGTAGTGCGCGTGGAAGAATCCGAAAGTTGGTAACGTGCCGTTGATCCATCGGGTTAGGATAATCGAGTGCGAGTGCCGTGCGGCGTGGATGCAGGCTTCGCCGAGTGTGAGCACCGGCTGGGAGATCTCTTCGATGTCTTCTGGTCGGGCTCCGTCCGCTTCGCTCAATTTGATCAAGATGTGGAGCAGTGTTGGGCGGGTGGTCAGAATCACACACTAGTTGCGGTCAGTTCATAAATCGATCCTATGGAAACTGGATTGATGTACCTGGTTGAATGACAGATGCAGCGAGCCTACCGGTGTCCGACTCATCTCTGGCTCCACCTGGTCCAGTCGCAGATGCTCGGGCAGGGTTTCCACCCAGTTCTTCAGCGCTTTCAAGAGCTTCTGCACGCGCTGGAGGAACGTTTCGCTGTACTTGCGGCGACTGTACAACTTGGCGATCGTCTCACCCACGATCCGTGCCAGGCTGATATTGGCCTTGAGATACTCGGTATCGGAGAACTGCTCCTCCTGTAACTGCGCCGGGGTGACGTTGGACGGCATGTCTAAGTGGATATCATCATCCAAAATCTGTGACGGTAGGCCCATCTTCGATCCCCACATGCGGTCGAAGATGTAGATCGTCCACCAGATGCGCACCCGGTGCTGCCTCTCAATCGGATCGATCAGCTGCGACTCGGGGACGTTGTGGTTCATTCCAATCGACAATCCCAACCGCATAGCGCTTCCAATCAGAACATAGGCCGAATGACGTCGATTCAAGTAATACGAGAATAAAGACATCAACAACAGCGTCTCCAAATGCGTGATGCTCGTCCTCTCCGGCAGCACCTGCACCAAGCTCAACGCCCGCGCAAAGTACTTGGTCCCCGGTACTCTAGAACCCGTGGATGGCTCATTTCGCATGGAGTAGGCCTCTCCAAACGCAAATAGAGCAAAGAATTTGCACTGGTTGACCTTGCACTCAAAGTCGCCCGTCTGGTAAATCTCCTCGAGCTTCTCCAGCGTCGACTTACGCAGCACCAGATGGTAAATGAAGCTGATCTGCCGCAGCGCAATCTTCAACAATAGTCGCGCCTGGTGCAAACTCGGCCACCAGATATCCCCCGTATTAGCCGCGGCGATATTCTCATCCCGAACATACTGCGTGCGCGTAATATGCGCTGTCGCATTACTCCCCGTCAAGAAGCGCCGGAAGCGCGTCGCAAAAGCCGTACATGCTGCCTCGCCCACGAAAAGCGGCGGCGCCGACGGATCGTATGGGTGGAACCAAGCCCGGTCCCCGATCAAAGGGTTGCGCACGTTGGGATTATTGCTTTCCGCTTCATCTGGCGCCTCTGCCGTTCGCGACGGGCCGCCGCCGCGCCCGTCTTCGGCCTCGGTCGCATTGACCGAGGAAGGGGTCGGTTGTTCTCGCAGGCGTCGGATCTCGGCCTGCAGTTCGTGCAGATAACTGTGGAAAACTCGATCAGTCTAATTCCCGGCTACTATAAAAAGTCATGCATGACGTCCGTCCATCCCCGAACATCGTGTGAGTCACAAGAGTGTTAGTTTTCGTTGGACTGACCTCTCGCTCACTTTGACCTGACGGTCCCGAGGTGCGTATTGGCACTCATCGGCACAGCCAACCTGGCGGCATTTGGCGCAGGGCTGGTCGCCAGAGCATTTGATTTTGTGTGCGTGACATCGTTGGCAGCTGGATTTGCACGATAAGATTAGCAGTGATGCTGAGAGGGCCACAGTAGAAGGGCACACTTACGCAACAAACTTCCTCCGTTTCGGGCATTCGCCCTCTTCGGTCGCTCTGGAATGTTTTCTACGGTTCATGAGTCATGACGATGCCCGATTTGATGTATCAGGTCCTGAAATTGTCCGCAAAAAGACAAGTAGATAACCGATGCAGAGGATATGCTGATGAAGTGGATGAATGAGTGAGTGATGAATCGAGTTGTTCGGACTGTCGGCGGTCGGTTCAACATCGCCGAGCCTCAGGCCGAGAAGTCGCTTAGATAAGAATCAACACAACACAGCAGACAGCAGGAGCATGAATTAGTTGGGCATTTGTACATTTCAATGATGATACGAATGATTAGTTAGACTTGATACACGGATATAATTGACCAACTGGTCTGGCGGCGAGGTACTAGTATGGAATACTACTAGCAACATCCTCCGGTCCTCAATATAGTAGAAAGCACGGACATGATGATATATATATATATATGATATCTATCTAGGCTGTTTAACTGCCGCTGAGTGCTATCTCTGTGCAAAACACCAACTACTACTCTTAAGTTAGTAGCCCCATGCCTGTCTACTATGGACAAGCAACTTCGAATTATTTCCTACGCGCATTTCAGGTTAGCGCGTCCTACTCCACAATCACTGTCAAATGTCCATCTACTCTGTACAAACTTTGGACCGAGTGGAGCCTCGGAATCAAGATCGTCTCGGGCGAGTTTCAACCGGTTTTGAGGGCACACATGAAGCAAGTCCGCGACCAACACGTGCATTCCACACCTGAAAAATCATCACCTCCCATCACGGTGGCGTTACTGCAGCGCGAATGCAGTGTCAACGCGCCAAGGGCGCCACAGCGATCCTCGTAAGCCTTCTACTTCGCAAAGCCGCCCTGTGGAGAGCGTTCTTCCACCACTCCGGGTGATTATCTCCGGCACTCGGCCGTTGTGCGGACACCGGAAAAGCTGTGTGATCCGAGACAACACCAACATTGAGCCCAGGCAGAAAGCCCCATTGGACTTGTCAACGGAGATTTCCGAGCGATATATAAATCCGGCACACCCGATCAAAGTTTCGCAGCCGCTCCGGAAAAGTTTCTTAGACGTGTCACACAGCCGCAGGCAGGGAAGGGAGGGTGCGACAGGCGGGTAAACGATCGAGCCCCGTGTTGATGACCATTGCTTCAATTTTCGTCCAATTCAATTGGCCGAAGGGAAGTAGGAGATCAAAGCAGTAGTGTAAGCCTGACAGGAACCGGAGTCTCGACTGAACGCAGCTCGCTCAATGTGGCCTAAGGGGCAAAAAGCAAGATTAGTGTAGAGTTAAAAAGTCGGGGAGCTGAGAAAGAGCGACAGTGGCTGCCCGCAAGCGTGCACGCTAACGCGGGTCTATCTATGCGGATTTAATTTCCAGACCCCGAAGTGCGCGTAACCCTTCCAAGCCTTGTCCAACAGTATTTTGTGCGCGTACCCCCCACGCTGCGAGAGAACAGGGGCTGTAGATCATCCAGAAGTATAAGACAAGCCATACAAGAAATAAATCTACCGATCGCAGAGCCCACAGGACGATTGGGAAGCCTCGAGCATCGGGTCCACCCCCGGGGGCGGTTGCAAGGGTGCTAATTCTGGGAAGGGTGCTAATTCTGGGAAAACCGGTTGAGACTGGAGGTAAGATCAGGCTGAAAGTCTGGAATACCTTGATTAGCGCATTGGCAAGAGGGATATCCGGGATTTGTGTGCCGGTGCCACAAGGGAGGGAAAGGAGACTACTAATTAGTAGCGAAGCGATGCTCGAAGCTGGCTGGCAACAATGCAGCTGAACCCGACTGCCTCATCGCCACCTCGCCTTATCCCCCCTTCCCATCTCTGCGATCTCATCGGCGAGATCGCGCATGGGATCTGGCATCCAGATTCATGCCCTTGCTTCATCTCTCTGCGATGCTCCAGGAGGAAAAACTGTTGGTCCGCGTTGCAGGAAAGAGGGTCGCAGAGTCAGCCACATCCCCATACGGAACCATTTTCCATGCCAATCGTGATGGTGGTTCCGAACTTCAGAACTACTTGGGTAAGTTTCGGCCGATGGAACGAAGCATATTTGAATGGTCGACTGCCCCCCCCAAAGTGAAGGGTTCGTATATTCTGGTTCAGTGGACATTGGCATTCCTATTCCCCCTTCTGCAAGTCATGCGAGCGGAAAGAGAATCTTGGGGGGAAGTTGAGTTGGCCCTGTTGGTCAGGCAGACAAACCAGTCACTTCCTTTCTCTCCAATAATCTCTCTCTCCCTCCCTTCCCGATCTTCTCCCCGCCTCGGCCGAAACATCCACGGCCTCACTGGTCCAGGTAGTATCGACCTCAATCCCCGTCACATTCTTCGTTAACCCCCTCGATACGTTTCTATTGCAAAGTGCCTACTAGATATCTTCTAAGCACGGACCCTGTAACATCACCTTCCCGCCTCCTTGCTCAAGACGCGGCGGACAACAAAAAGTGTGTCCCTGAATGTCCACCATGAACCCCCTCTGGACGGCGGACGCGAAGAGAGTTCTCGCTATTTGAAAAAGTGAAGCCCTAACCCCCAACGGTCTCTTTGCCTTCTGGCTAATGTCTTGTGTCATCTTCAGTGCAGACTGATACTGTGAGCCAAAATGTGCCGAAATGCTTCGCCACGGAGCCTCCTCCCTAGAACGCGCTCGTGAACGATTTCCGACCCAAAGTGAAATGCAGAACGCGGCTCGCCGAACGTCATCTAAGGTTGTACTGATGGCACTGGCTAGTCGCCCATGACGTTGGCTGCTCCGGGACGGAGTACCGGCTATGGTCGGCCGCCTTGTCCACAATCTGCGTCGAATCTTCGAGAGCTTATCAAGTTCTATATCCGCAGGCCCACGAGCTCGTGGATTGGAGCCACTGCAAATTGGTCTGACACCTACAGACTAGGCCAAATGGAAACAAGAGCAAAATGGGGAAACAAGCTCACTGTGAAGCCTCCCACATGATACCACTAACATCAGTGTCGATGACTAGTAGCTTCCTCGATCCGCATGACATCCATTCCATGTGTGCTTGGTAAATACTGGTCGATTGCAGAGATACCCGACCGGCTGGATTGTGTTAGGATGGCTAGTGGTACGATCAGTACATTTCTTTTGCAAATATCACTGCTTGACGCGCCAAGAGGCCACCAACTAGCGGGGAAGAATCGCCTGGGACATACTGCATACTACGGCGGTTAATAGCGGCCATCGGGCAAATGCGTTGATGTCCCTTTACCGCTCTACATACCGCATCCGAATTAGGATCTCATGATACTCTGCATGATGCTGTACGGATCCTTTTTCTAATCATCATTAAACATGCCTCCTTTTATTGATCTTGAGCTATATAAGGCTGACATCATCAGTCTGTTTCATCAGGACTGTTCTACAGCTCGTATTGCCTCTATTGTTAAGGCATGATACCACGTACGAGTCAGCAAGCATACAATCAAAACCAGATTAAGTAGTTGGGATGTTAGCAAGTATAATTATACAGTTACTATTGATTTTTCTTTACATAACTGGATCAAGAAGTTATTCTTTGAGAAATACCTCTCTGATACAGAGAATCTATATACTATACAGACTGAAGGATACACTGTCTCTTTATAAATACTTCAGCAAATCTGTACGGAGCAAGGCCTCGTCCGATAAATAGATAATTTTAGTAAGTATTAATTCCAGGATGATATAGCTACAAAGCACCTGCTTAAGATATATAATAAAGGAATTATCTAAGACTATAGATAAAAGCTTTTATTTACTTATATATATAATAAATATCTTATTATTCCAAGGTCTGTACAGAGGATTATTATATATTAATTTCTTATTAATTGAGATCTTGTAGATATTGGTTATATAATATTTATTATATAATTACACCTGAGGCTATATAATAATAGAAGAATAATATATAACAAAGTCATAGTTTATATATAATTCCTGGACCAGATTATATCTGGTCTGTGGACAGTTATATGAAGCTAGATCCGTATAATATCTAAATTTATACAGCTATTAATATATACTCTTATTATATTATCTGGATTTATATTGGCATTAATACTTGTATATTAGTCAGTATTGTACAGCAATATCTTGACATTATATATAAACAGAAGATTATCTGTAATAAGATTTATTTAGATTATAAATTAGAGATATCTTTACTTACTAAAGCCCACTGCTATCTTTAAAAAGTATACAAGCCAGAGATTAAGGTAATATAGTATTATATCTTTAAATCCAGTATTATAAATCAGAGAATTAAGTCTTAATAGGTACAGCTAAATAAATTATTACTTTTTTAATATTATATATATACAGACAGACTAATCCTTATTTACTTCTATATTAACTAATATAGAACTATTTCAAGATTTTGATTAAAGTAGGAGACTTCTCTAAAGATATAATTCCAGATTAGATTACTTTGTACATAGTTTACATACCTATTCTTCAGACGCAGGTCTCATTGTATATATATACCTGGAACCAACACAGTATCTAGAAATAATAAGAGAGGCCATATATTATCTCTGGTTAATTATTCATAAATTATTATTATCTAGAATATATAATTAATTATAGTCTTTTTATATATAAAGAGTCTCTCCAGCAGCTAAAAAACTCTATATAAGACTAGAATATAGCAGAGTATCTATCTACAGAAACTTTAAAATAATATTAAAAGATCTTACTGGGGCTGGGCTTTGACCCTGAAAAACTATTACTAGTATATCCAGATAAAGCAGAAGCCTCTTTTTATATAATCTATCTTAGCTTACAGAAACAGATAATAATATATATAAAATCAGATACTAAGCCTGATCTGATATTATCTGAAGTACTAACCAGGACCTTTAATTAGATTAAATAACAGAAATTAAAATAATTATCTATAATAACTATATACTCTTTATTTACTATTCTTTTTACTTTATTATTTATTCAAAATCTTAAGATTCTACTTTTTACTATACAGAATAAAAATCAATATCTTTTATATAAAATATTACTTATTTAAAATATCTTTTATATATAATAACTCTTTCCTAGACTTCTTATTATTTTATTACTGGCTAATCTTATCCTGCTTATTTTCTACAGTATCCGACCTGCCAGGCAATTAATCCTGTATTTAAGTAGACTACTTATATTAATCTTATTATATTACCTGAATCATAATCTGTATAATCTAGCTTATATATACAGACTGCCTCATTTGGTAGTAGTCCTTGTACAACAGTTTTTAGAGAAAAAAATATCCGCCAGAAAGCCCTCTTATACAAGAAATCTTCAAAAGATCTAGCTGGTATAAAGATTATTATTCATTTCTATCTGTATAATATACAGGAAGGGGAATCTGAAGATAATATTTTAATTATTATATATATTCTATTAGATTTGATTTTCTATTCTTAATACTTATATAATGCTAATCTTGTTATCCTACAGAACAGGTACAGACTTATATTAATAATTATATATTTAATAATTTTAATAACTTCTTTTGAGATAAGCTGCTTTCCTCAATAACTAACTATATATATATATATAGTACAGGGGATTACTTCTATTTATTAATAAAAATTATAAAGAAGCAACCAATCTTTCTATTTCTAACAGCTAGAAATAATATAAAGATCCTGGACTTTTTAGAAAAGTAATTCATACTTACTAATAAATTATATTAAATTTATATAATTATTCAGTACTGTATAATACCTTTCTCTATTACAGATGAGGCAGAAGAGACCAAGATTAAAAAGAAAATTATTAAAAAAAAAAATAATTATATAAAAGAGATTAATTATATAAAAAAATCAGGATAATCTTAATACTCTGGATACTAAGATAAAGGCTTTAAATATTTTATTAAAGTATTAGTTATCCCAGTCTCCCTCTCTATCTTATCGTACAAGGAAGAGATATGTGATCAGAAAAGATAATAAAAATCAGACAGCTAAATATAAATTATCAGATCTTTAATTATATATTACTTTACTAGATAGCAGAATCATGGGTTCATACAGCAGGCTAGGACAGGCAGAGTAGAATCCATAATAATAAAACTTTTATATATATAAAATAAAAAACAAACAGTTAAAACAGTGAATATAATATTAATTTAAATCTATTAAATAATCTCTATCTTCCACCTCTGCTTTCTATTAATATATTTATTATTATTACTACTACTATTACCACCACTACCACCACCACCAAGATATCTATATATATATTAAATAATTAAAAACAGATTACTGAGCTTGATTTCTTATCTATCTATCTTATTTCTATTATACAGAACAAAACTGACTCTATAATATATCTATATAGTAATAATAATAATAATATTATTAATAACTATTATATTAGCACTCCTCTCTCTCTTTCTAATCTGCTTACTAATTACTGTCCGCCTGTCCCCGCCCCCCCTAATCTTAAATAATACTGGATATTATTATATAAAAGGCTTCTGGTTAGTACCAATCTTATAATTCCTGCAAGGAATCTAGGTTGACTAGCTTTATTTATATATACTAATATAGAACTGCAAGTACTTGCCTAGCTAAGAATATAGTCTATTAAATTCTGATACAGCTAGATCCATGTTTATTAAATTATAATATATTAAACAAGCTATATTAATATCTTGCTAATATAATCTCAGAGAATTCATCCGCCAGCCCTGTATTCCAGATGCTGTGATAATACAGGAAGTATTTTTCCAGAATATTACTATTTATTAGACATATTCAGCAGTGCTTGTACCAACTGTAAATAACCTAATACTAATAGCAGCTATACCGTCTGAGATTTAATATAGAATATTTTATAGAAAGCTCAGTCTTCTATATTTATTATTAGCAGAAGATTACCCGTACCGGGGACCTTTTATACAGATCTGATTATTATAAAAAAAAAGAAGAAAAAGAAAAAAGTAATTATTATATCAGTATCTTTAATATATCCGGATTCTCCAATTAAAAAGAAGGATCCGGATATCAAGAAGATATTAATTATTAATTTTATTAATAATAAACCCATTATCATTAATAATGATTAGATATATACAACTGTTTTCTTAATTATTAATATATATCTGCACCTGCACCTGCACCCCAGTTGTACAGGATATCTATATATAATATCCTGGGCAAGACTTGCACCTCTTTGTGGTACTCAGGACTAGTAGCCATCTATATAGCGAAGCCAAGCAAGTCATCCAATAGTATACATACAGCTTTATATAGATATAGATAAGTATGTTAGATAAGCTACATGATCCAATCAGCTACATACTAATTCTGCCGGCAGTAAACACCAAAAAATTGCATTTGCCCGATGGCCGCTATTAACCGCCGTATGCATACGTACTGCGGCGTGGTTTGGTAACACAGACTCCCGAGCATGTGATGTTTAGCGACAAGCAGTACGCCAGAAGCCTTATCATCATCATTTGACCTCAGCACGCAGTTAAGTATCGCTCAAGGGAAGAACTCCCAACCAGCAACCATTCAGGCCTGTGAACATGTGATCACACTGATCTGTTCGCCACGCTTCCAGCCACCGCTTCATCCACTTCCAATACGGACACATGACCCTCCAAACGATCGCGGACAGTAGATGTATAGATGTCCGCTGAAATTTCACTCAAATTTACGTGAAAGAAAATTTCAAGTCGTCAACTTCTGCCTTCGATACTGAAATTTGCGAGAAAGCACGACCTTATCTGGCGTTTCCGGATCATTCTCTCGAGTTTCTTCAGCTTTCAATGTATCGTGGAACTAGAATGAGGGAGAAGGGACATGAGCCAGACATCAAAAAAGGAGGAGAGAAGCCACGAAAAGGGCACAGGTCACCGTAAAGAGACAATATCCATGAGCAACTGGTGGCGGATGATGCACACGATATACTGTTTACCTCGAATAGGCAGCAGCTTCCCCATGAATGCTCGATGAATCCGTGAGAATTGTCGCAACCCCTCCCCGATCCAAGGATAGGTGGTCGTGTGTCGACCCCATCGTTGACACCAGTGGCTCGCCAGCAAAAGAACATACAAAAAGAAGCAATGGATTAGCTAGCCACCAGGTGCCCCTGCGGTGTCGAGGTTGCGGGGTCTTTGCATTCCTCCCCGGGTGTTTAACTCTAAACTCCTTGTCTAGGCCTCTGGCACCGGTCTCGATGAGCTTTTAATTGGAGCCACTGAGCGACCTCAGGACGTGCAAGTGAGTTCAGACCACATGTACAATGCTGGTGGCGCTGATTTAAGATTGGAAGGGTGCCATCCAGGTGGTGCAGCGGCGTGCACAAATACCTTTCCTTGGAGCCGATGCAAAACTCGAAATGCTTCCATCTCCCATGTTTTCAAAGGTAACTTCTTGCTGATGAGCTGAATGGGAGGGAACGGGGACGTCCGCCTCAGCAACATTGGCACCGGGTTGGCTGTCATGCGGTCCCACGAGGTCGGGTCGCGCCCTTTCTAGCTGGGTCACGGGCGAGCTTCTCGTCCAAAATAAAAAGAAAATTAGGGAGGGCTTATAGATGAGAGAGAGCCTCTTTCCCTTGTTCAAAATTGCGGAGATGGAGGGAGCGAAGAACCATGGTTGAAAATGATAGCCCGAAGGACAGTCTTCTGGTTCCAATTCCACTTGGTGTTCCGGAGACGCGAGCCGATTTCCGCCCAACTTGTGGCGAGACCAAACCCGGCAGTTAACTCCAGCCTACCACACTTCTCCCTTGACCGGCTCTGGGTCCCTTTCGGCCAACAAGCGTTAAGCTGTTGCTATGAATCTGTGACACCAAAATCCGCCCTGTCCACTATTATTGTTCTCTCCTGGTCTATAGTGACCCCTACGCCCAGTCCTCGCTAATCACGAGTCTTTGCCCGTATTTGCTGTTGCTGGGTTCGTCCGTGCTATTGAGGGTTGGGACCAAGGGGGCTGACAAGTTTTCTCGCCTCGCCTCGTCTTGTCTTTGACAATGAGCGACAACAACCGGCCCCCTCCTTTCCCTTATCCCTCCTATTCATCGTCCGCCTCGTCCGATTTCCCGGACAGTGAATCCAAGTATCATAACTGGCCGGTGCCTCAGTATTCGCAGCCTGCTTCTTTCGGCCCGCCGGTCTCTTACGAGTCCGTCCCCGTCAGTCATGCTGAGACCCCCGCTGCTGGAGCCTCCCGGAGCGCTCCTGGGGATCGCACAGTGAACTCTAAGGTGGCCATCCCCAGGACTGTGAGCACGAGCACCTGGACCAGCAGTGGCCGAGTCAGCCGGGCTTGTGAGAACTGTCGAGATCAGAAGGCCAAATGTAGCGGTCACCGCCCTACTTGCCAGCGTTGCCAGGAGTCGGGCATCCGCTGCTCCTATGGAGATCGGAAGCGCGAAAAGATGGCCAAGTGCGTTTACGTGACTGCTTCCAAGTTGATCGATGAATCTATCTGACGGTGGGTTTTAGGCAGCTCAGTGATCTGACAACCCAGGTCCAGGTATACGAAGCCGTTATGCGAGAGATTGCTCCGAAGCTGGACTCGCAAACGGCCCAATATGTCGAACGAATTTTGCACGATGTAAGATCCCTTTGATCCATCCATCTCTACTTGCCGAACTCTCCCTCGCTATTCTATTATTCCTCCCTTCCCCTCTAGACCCCATTCCCAGCCCTGTTTAACATAAAGAAACCCATTACAGCAAAGAGACGACCATGACCAGCTCGGTGGCGCACATGGGTCGTCCTCATCATCGGCCGCCAAAGTAGCCGATGCAGCCCTTTTGGGGCACCCCTCACCAGGTTCTTCGCTGGCAGCTCTAGACTATACCAACGAAGACTTTAACCGTGACGAGAAGATACAAGCCATGGGCTTTGTGGGTGAACATTCCGAGATCGCTTGGATGTACAGATTGAAGCGCCTTCTGGAACGATCGAACTCCGCATCCCCCCGAGAGACCTGGGATCGACATTCGGTCTCCTCCGTGAATTTTTTCCTTGACGACTCGAATATTCCAGTTATTGATGATGTTGATCCATCTCAACGACCCCCTATTACGGTGGCTGACCAGCTTGTCGACAGCTATTTTCAAGTCGTCCATCCGACGTTCCCAATCGTGGGCAAGATGATTTTTCTGGCACAGTACAAGTCTTTTTACTCGGCTCCTCATGTACGGCCGGGTAAAAGATGGCTTGCAATACTCAATTTAATCTTCGCGATTGCTGCGAAACACGCGCGTCATCTGTACAATGACGTCGAAAATGGGACCGATGAGAGCTTAGTCTACTTCTCGCGGGCATGGAAGCTTAGCATGAATGATACGGCACTTCTCGAGCACCCGAATTTGCAGCAAGTACAAGTGGAGGGGCTGACTTCGTTTTACCTAATGTCCATAGGACAAGTCAATAGGTATGCACCTTCCGTGATTCTTCTCCTTGCGTTTCAGGGCCCATTCCTTGGTGGTTGCCCGCATTTCCCGCATCCTTCTCTGATTTGATAAAACCCGTCTCTCAGGTCCTGGAGAATTTGTGGTATATCCATCCGTTCGGCTGTCACGATGGGGCTGAACTTGAGAAGCGAGAGCAATGCGATTGTTCATGTGTCCAAGGAGACGCGTTATCGGGTATGGTGGTCCCTATATATGCTTGATAACTCACTTTGTGTCATGACGGGCCGCCCACCGAGCACCAATGATGTTTTCTGCACCACGCCGCTCCCAGTTCCTTTCAAGGAGGAAGAATTCATGGACAACAAGGTCGTCCAACTGATTGCGGATCACGAAGCTCGAAATATCTTCATGGAAACCTTCTGTTTGAGGGTTCCTGGTAAATCTCCCGACAACGCGGGAACGCCCGACTCTTTCCGGCTACAATTGAATACGTTCGGCAAACAAAGTGACCAGGTCGCTGCTGGCGCCATCGAAGCGCTCACACCAAACACCTCGCTCTATTTCCTTTATCATATTGACCTAGCGCTGATCATGCGGGAGTCGGTAGACCTGCTGTATGCTCCAGGGGCAGCTCGAAAGTCGTGGCGAGAGATCGAGGGTTCCATCTCCATGTTGCATGGCAAGGTTGAAGCATGGCTGTCTAGACTTCCGCCAGCCTTCCACTTCACTAAAGGGGCGCCCGCGTTCGAGAGGCAACGGGCGAGCCTGGCGTTTCGCTTTTGCAGCACCAAGATGCTCATTACGCAACCGTGCCTAAGCCGTCTCGCCCAACAGAATTACGGCAATGACCCGCCGGGACGATTTTGCGAGACCATGGCAACTGTGTGTGTCGACCTTGCCGGTCAGATGCTCGACTTACTGCCTGATCTCCCGGACCTCGCTTGGGTCTATGGGGTCTCTCCCTGGTGGTGCATCTTACATTATCTGATGCAGTCCACTACCGTTCTCATCATGGAATTGCTGCTGATGGCGAGACCCGGAAGTGCCAAGTTTCGGCGGGTGCTGGCGCAGGTGTCCAAAGCGACCGGCTGGCTGGCGGAGATGTCGACGAAAGATGCATCCTGCCAAAGGGCTTGGCTGGTGTGCAAGGATCTTATCGCTGAGCATGCCCCCGACCTTGGTGACATCGCCAGCCCCGCCGACCGTGGCAAATCCTGACTGTCCGCCCGGTGCAAACATTCCATGATGATCTCTCCCTCACACCTTGCGTTTCCGAAACAAGCCCGACAACTGACCGAAGGTCCCTGTCCAGTGCTGCCTTGGACTCACCCACTGTAGTGGGCTACTCCCCCCGTCAGTAACCATTAGTGGTTGCGCTGACCAGTGTGTCTCCGTCAAGGGAAAATAATTCGCTTTGATACGGTCGTCTCTATTTCCCTACACTATCTATTATCATTGGACTAAATTGGTACTGGAGTAGGTCTCATTCACACTATCTTATTTTCTTTCCCTTCCCATCTTCAATCTCCCATCTTTTTCCCGTCTTCTCTACCATCTTTTCTTTATTTCTTTCTTTCCCTTTTTTCTGTTTCTGCACCTGCCCCGTATCCCCACAATAGATTGGAACAGGCTTTCTATGATTGTCAATAGATGTAGACAACCCCGGCTCTGCACCGATGAATTTCGAGGAGTGGATCTACATAGCGCAAGCCCTGTCTTAAAGTAAGTCGCAATTCACCCGTGGCATCCAGCAATTCGCACGGGGGCTTGCCTCTTCTTGACCATTTCATTGCTCCCCCATTACTGTTGCAGCTACGGCAGCCCCCCCTTTTCTGTCCAGGTTGTCAGAACCACGACCCCCGCAGGAGAGTAGAATTGATCGTCGAGCCGCGAAGTGCAGGGCATCAGGCGAACTTTATCCCAATCGGGCTACGGTCCGAACTGCACTTCCGCCTTTATTGGGCATCGATCCGATTTTGGAGACGCCCTGGAGGGGGATGGGAGCCTTGATTGGCCCGACTCTGGCTGGGATCCAGTTTTCAAGTCGATGTGCATTTCGATCCTTTGAGTTCTTTTATTCCTTTCTTATCTATTACCGCATATCGAATCTGGAGTGATCTGATTTTGATTGGAAGTTGAGGGTTCGTAAGATGCTTGGACTTTTGCGCGCCGCTGGGAATGCGGCTGCCTTGCTCGACGGGCATTCGCTGTGCTGCTGCAACTGGCACCATGGCTCTGACAGGGTCCCCCAGAGAATTAAGACCAGACTAGAAATATGCAATGGGCTTGTACTACTTCCAGTACCGAACCCACTGCAGTCTCCATGTTACTGAAGTCTCTCCCTCCCCTCTGGTACCCTCCCTAGGCGTCGAGGGTTTATCGGTACAGCTGGAGAGCAGCTCGATGACTCCTTGCAGGGTGGGCCGACAGTTCCACCTTAAGCGGTTTGCTGTCATTTGCTGGCAAGCACCTCCGTCACCGTGCGGAACGGTAGTTTATTGTGCTGCTATCTGCAAGGTCGATTCCTGTCGGGCTTAGCCTACCGTTCATCCATTCCCCTGCTTGCAGCTAAAGCTTGCTGTCCGTTGGGGGCTGATCCGTGGTTGGGAGAAGCTCTCGGCCATGGTCCGGCTGGTCATGGGTGCCAGATCCCTCACGGGTCTAGACGAGAGGCCGGCCAAATGAAAATGCAAAAAGGGGAGCGATAACAAAGATTTACGCTTACCATATTTTAAAGTAAAAAAAGCAAAGGGGAAGAGCAACGAAAAAGGAAAGAAAAAAGGACTAAGAAGACACTGCCCATGGTTCATGGTGAAGAGGTGCGTGAGGCCTTAAGCATTTACAGGTCGGGAAAAGTTGGGCAACGACCTCATCACTCACCACTCACCATCCATTCACCAAACGACTTTCAGGTACAGCTCATTACTCGCTTCGTATTTCCGCCATTTCTCGTCCTAAGTCTGAAGCCACTGGCTTGATCTAAGTGCGCTCGATCAGAGCTGTTCCGTGTTGCTCTCATTTCTCTCGCGCCAGGGAAGGGGATTAGTGTAGTAGGGAGAAGGAGGCACTTCGGCACTGTACGGATCCTCGATCTGGAGAAGGCAAAAGGACGCTGCATGGACTATGGGGCCAGCTAGGCTACATGCTGGCCCCGATAGCGTCCGGGTCTGCGGTTCTTCTGTTCAACTACTGCTGATCCAAATCTGACCTATCCATTTGGCGAGATGTTCCGAAGCACGCCACGGTGCGAGCCACGATTTCAACCTGGGCCAGAAACACGATAAAAGACAAGAGGAGAGAGGTGCCGAGCCAAATGAAGGAACGGGGGGTTGGAGTGGAAGCCCATTCGAATGCGCGGCTGCTGGCCCAGATGAAAATATCCTCCACCATGGCTTACGCATGGCCCCAGCGTACCCAAATAGGGTCCAGATCCCGATGTCAGAGATCAAATCCCGACGCCGCTAAATTGAGCCAAGCCAAACCATCCAGTCTTTGAAATCTCCTGCTAATCTCACCATTTGCAAGGTCACCTTAAATACTTAATACTGTCCATTATACTTGTTGGCATACACGAGCACAAGCAAATCCGACAGCGTAGGACGGCGTAGGACAGCGTATCAGGGTGAAGTAGTATAATCAACCCCCTATAGTTGGGTCAAGACATGTCTGTCAACAGGTTGATGTCAGGTCTCGCACTGACTGGTGCAGACAATTGCATTATCAGGTCTCCATCCATCCATCCCAGGCCGTCACGACCAGAGGAAGCGGCACATTCCGGTCCCTTTCATTGGTGATGTTCGGTTAATCTCCATCACCGCGCGGGTCTGATCATTACCGATTGGTTGCTTTTGAAGAGGGCTTTTTGTTCCCGCCGCAGTGGAAAGTTGGATGGATCGTCTTCGGGCCAGCCCATCTGCCCTTCACCGTTTCGAACCATTCCGAAGTCACTAGTCTATATTCTCCACAACCAGCTAGCTGCCTGCCTCGGCGTCGGCAGACTCCTTTCCTGCATTATTTCTGCATTGGGGTTTACATACTCCCAACGCATGACAGGGCGGACGTTACTGTCCAGACTGTGTCTACGTTGCACGACTCGCTCCATTCGGGAGGAAGGAAAGAGGGAAAGACAGACGGATCGTTTCATGCCCCTCAGATTCCGATCATGCGTAATGGAACTAATCACCAGCTGGTATCGGCTGGCGCAGGCGGATTTTACGATCGTAGGCGAATCTGGGCATGTGCACTGCGCGACTCGCATCAGCATCTAAAATTCAAGCTCAGTAGGTACGCTTTGTCATGTACTATGTAGATCTCAACGAGTAGAGAGATAAAAAAAATAAAAAAAAAAAATCCAAAGTACTTTTGTATGTATCTTCGGATGGACGGAGATCTCGGACTCGATCCGAGGAGGGCGGCTCGGGCTACCCTTTGGGTCGAAGATTCGTTTGGAGTATTCCCTGGTCCCCGAAGATTTTCGATCCCTTCGAAAAAGAATCGCAGGATCTGCTTTTGATGCCTGAGGCATTAAATTTATGGCATCATAACTGCTCAGGCATACGTCACTCTAGATCACGTGGATAAGTATACAATCACACGTGATGTGGCAGACTTGGCTATACACCGCCTTCCCTTGTGGATGCGGAGGCTGTCACATGATGTGGGGAAAGTCACGGGCACTGCATATCAAGCAATCCATCAATAATCAATCATCAATCATCAATTCAGCTAGCCACGGTGCCAATGCGCCCCCAATCACCTCAATCAATCCACCTATTCTTTAGCTATTCGCTAGACTGATTTTCCATCTCAATGGTCATTCAACCATGCGACGGTGACGGTAAACAATGTCATTGCGGGGCCCTATGAAGCGTTCGCACCTGCGGCAGGTGAGCGCCGCCAGTATCGACACGCTTTCCAGCTCGCGCACCGTCGAGCTTCCTCGTGGCACGCCCCGGGATCGCTCCTCCACTCCCGATGACAAGGCAGCCCGACTCTCATCCACCGGACTGGACCGCCGTCAATGCTCCCTCTGGGTCCATGATGAGACCTTCTCCAAGGAGGAGATCCTGTTCAACCAGGCCGCCTTCAGCGACACCGGCGTGCAAGTGGGCGATGTCATTGAGATATTGCCCGCGCGGATGTCGGGCGATGTCCCTTATTCCGCCAAAGCAGACATGGGAGCCCGGTCGCTGCGCGAGAGTCATGTCGACCTGAACTCGTCGCTGCCGGCGAACCCCATGTCCAAGTTCAAGACTCCATTACAGAGTCGATGTCTCTTTGTGGTCAAGCCCCTCCCACAGGAGATCAAGTCCCGTCACCCGAAGCTCGAATTGTCGGTCACGAGCAGCGTAGCCAACATCTTCGGGTTCAAGAACCGCACTGCGGTTCACATCTCCATTGTGGAGCGTGCGCAATGCGCGGCCTCTCATGTGGATATCTCCTTTCGCGATCAGTACCTGGTCCGTTCAGACATGTGGAGACTGGTCATGTCGGAGTTATCGGAGAAGATCGTCTACAAAGGCCAGAAGATCGTGTTCATGGGGAGTATCAAGGCCACGGTCAAGAATATCTTCATTCGGGGCAAGAAGGTCCTCTCGGGCTTCTTCTCTCCGCAGACTATACCCGTATTCCGAAGCGAATCGGCCAAATATGTCCTCTTCATTCAGATGTCAAGAGAGATGTGGGACTTTGACTCTGAAGGTACAGGGGATATTCTCTTTAGTAGGGTCATCAATGGCTTCTTGCCGGAGTTGTTCAAGCGCTGGGCCAATTCTGACGCGAGGCATCTGGTCACCATTGTGTTGTTCACGCGCGTGGAATATGATCCGTCGGCCATTGGGCCCTCTTCGAGTCTTACATCAGAGAGTTTGCACAACAACTTCACGCCAAATGGTGCGCCAACCAGGGACTTTTACCGTGTGGTCGTTAATGATATGGCGAGTGGCCATTGGACCACCATTCTGGATGAGCTGAAGAAGGACTTTCGAACCTTTTTGAGGGACGTGTCGATTCTCAAGACTACGGACGACATCAAAACGCCCACCATCGATGGGGTCAAGGTGGCCCCTCGAGCCCAATCTGCCACCATCGCCGGACGGCCCAGCACTGCGCTTCGCGGGAACATTCTCGAAGCGATTCATTTGGCGTCATCTCATCTGGCGTATGATCACATTGATCGCGATATGGTGCATACGGGGACTTCAATCATCGTCATTACGCCAGGAAGTGGCGTCTTCGAGGTGTCATATGAATCTCTAGCTTCCACGACGGAAGCACTGACGAATCGAGGTATTGCCATTGACTTGGTCTGCCTTAGTCCCATGCCGCTGCATTCGGTGCCTTTGTTCAAATACCGCGAGCCGGCACAGAAAACACAGAGCCCTTCGTATGGAGGGGACATCCAAGACGGAGGTTACTCGCCTGAAATGCGCCTGTCGTTTGCAAGCTTCGCCAGCAGGGGCTCGCACCTCTCGCCCAAGTCGTTTCCTGGAATGGGCGCAAGACCATGGTCTTCTCGCCATAACGAATGGAATTACGGCATTCCTCACTGGCTTGACATTTCCTACTGGAACCCTGAAACGTATAGAGAGGCTCGACGCATTCTGAAGAAGGATCCTAACGCTCCAATTCCATTCACTGTCACTAAGCAATCGAAGGTCTTCGTGCCGCGCGTGCGGATGTATGAGATTCAGATGATGGGGGTCATGGAAAGTGAACAATCGAACATTTCGATTCCTTATCTACTTGAAGGACAGGGTATCTCGAGAAGGTCAAACCACGCGATGGCCTTGAGTCCCGCGAGTATAAGCGCATCAAACCTGCCTTTCAAGCGCAACTCCCCTTTTCGGCACCAGCTGAGTGACAGCCTGCGACCCGAGCCGTTTCTCCAGAACATAGCAAGCTCCAAAGATGCAATGTTGCCCAAGTCGCGAAAATCCTCGAAATCGGTGGTTTCGTGGATGGACCAGTATGACGAAGGAGTGTTCCACCCGTTTCCCAAGCGACGCCAGCGCCCAAAACCGACAAAGCAAAAGCGACCCAGCGAGCCAGAAGTGCAAGTGTCAAATGCGCACGATCGACTATCCGCTCGATCCGTGACTCGCTTGAGGGAGAAAGAAACCAATTCGAACGAACGTGCCCAGACGACGTTTTCCGCGCCCCGGAAGATTGATGCCACACTCCCGGTCCCGAAAAAGCCCGTTCCTACGCGAACGGTGTCTCCGAAAAAGCCTGCGTTAAAGACCTCTTCCAGCGCCCGGATCCCACGAATTTCGCGTACGATCAGCTTTGCTCTGCGGGGCCTGAGTGCCACTCCTCCTAGAGCCCAGGCAAGCACGGAAGTCAACGTCGAGCATGCTCGCGGGCAATCGACAGCAAACGTGAAGAAACCCTCAGGCGTGTTTGCTGATACACGAAGCGTGGACTCTCTCAGCATATCGGATTCTGCGTCCACGAAGACCGTAATCGATCTCTCGACGACACCAACTACGCCCCAGAAGCACTCTCATATTAGCTCAGCAATCACCCCCTCGCGGCCAATAGAGATCAAGGTTCCTCAAAAGCAACCACCGGAGGATGATGCGGAGCAAGGCGACCGCCCAATCACCGAGTCATACTCAACCACAACAACTGAAATCCCTATACCTGGTGAGGCTCGCCATGAAGGCCGGGCCAAAAGGCCGCATCCACGGGTGACCATCAATGGCAGTTCGCGGGACGGAGCGAAAAGCGCGCCTTCCAAGGCTTTGGCGCCTTGGGTTCGGT